TTATTTGGCTTATAATTCCTTACTAAATGTAGTATTTCATCTCGATGTACTCCGTCTTTGATATGATTTAAATCAAATTCCTCGTCATTATAAATATCCCGAATACAACTCAAATAGTTTTCTGGTTGCAATTTTCTAATTTCGGCTAAGCGTAATGTATGCTTTACGCATGCGCGTGTTGAAAGAAATGTTTAGTAAAGTAAACAAATGAATATTAAGCTTCTTTTTTTGTAAATTTTGATACCCTTTAGATCATAATTGCTCATTATTTTATAAATTACGGTTTCATATTTTTAATTTTATAATTTCTGCATGCCATCTTACCAGATTTAAACTGATGATCTATAATCCGGAAAAATCAATAATCCGGAATCGCCAAAGTCCTGACGAGTCCGGATTAAAGTCTTGACTGTATAAAGAAAACTATTTGAAAAAACCATGCAACTTAAACAATTGAAACGAAATTAAAAAAAGAAAAAATTACTTAAAATAATAACAGTTATAATTAAAAATATAATATAAAGAATATTATTTGGAAAAAAGGAACGATTGTGACTTTTTTCCCTCTCAAAGGAAAGGAAACTAGGTTGCCATATATTAAGATGTTCGCCAAGTGAACTATTCTTGGCGCAACTGGAAAAAAAGTGCCAACATAAATTTGTGAATTTCTCCATAAATTTTGCTCCAAATTTTACAAAATTTCATATTTAGGCATAATTTGAGATGTAGAATCGAAGTATGTAAAAAAATTGGTATGTTTTTTCAGAAAAAGTCCAATTGTCAAAATACCTATGTTAGAATAGTGCTATATATAAATCTAATATATATCCCTTAGTCGTGCTTTCGAGACATGAAGAACGCAATTTGAATTTGTCAATTGGCCCAGTAGAACGGGAGATATAGAACTGTCTCCCCCTTTTTTTTTTAGCAGTGTACATTGAAAAAGTATATGTGCAACACCTGTAACAGGCTTCATTTTTTTAAAGAAATACAGTGGCACTTTTTGGAGTATGGTTAGTTGCTTTGTCTTCATGAAATTTCCCTCTTTGAAAGTCACTAGGATTAAGAAATGGAATTTTTTCTGTCAGTATCACACATGAAACTTTACCTTGATTGTAACCAATTTTAACATTTTTTTCCTACTCTTTTTATTTTTAATTTCCCATTGTAAGAGAATCCTGTGACAATCATAAACACTTACTGAAACTTTCTTTGCATTGGTGGAATCAGGTTTTATCTCCAGTTAAACAGTTTTCATACAAGGTTCTACAAATTGTTTGGGGCTGAGTTAATGTCTTGATGAAAGCTGGTGAACATTATGTTTTTTAGTCTTATTAGGTTGTAAATATTGATTTATTAATTTATTTATTGTCATCACACATATCTTTAAAGACCTTGAACTAAATTTCTGCACTGTCGGATTTTCTCTTCTTACCAATGATTTAACTTTAGAAACACTATGTAGCTTTTCAGGTGCTTGCTTGGAGTCTTCTAAAAAATATCAAAATGAGTATGCAATAATAGAGGAATATAATAAAAATTTCAAAAAAGCAGAAGTAAAGGCAGAAATGTATTCAAAGAAATGTTCAAGGCCATGCTCTGGAAGAAAAATTGAATTTTTACACTTTGTGTGATACTAGCAAGTCCGCCTATAGTGCAATCATATTTCTAGAGAACAAATGAGAGAAAAAGATTAGAATTTATTTAATTGAAGCTAAAAGTATACTAACTCCTTTAACAAAGATAATAAATAATAACTCAACTAGAATTGTTAGCATGCTTGATAGAAATTCACCTTACTGTAACAGTGAAAGAAGCTATGAATTTAAAAGGAATTCCAAGCACCTGTTGAACTGACACTTTAACCGTTTTATTCTGGATAAGGAATGAAGATCATTGAGGAACATTTCTCAATAACCGAGTGAAAGAAATAAAAGGTTTAACATCAGAAGAACTATGAAAGGTACAAGCTGGCTGACCTCCCTTCTAAAGGTTGTTCCACTGAAGTTTTGCTTAGATCTAGATGGTGAGAAGGCCTACCATGGCTTTGAGTCTGCAAACAAAAATCTTTTGAAGAAAAGATACAAATAATTTCATTTATCCAATACTTTTACCGTCTAATCATCAAACTGCAGAAAAATTAATTTTCAAACAACATACAATGCTTTCATGTTCCGGAGTTCAAGTTGTTTTGGCACACATTCGTTAATGGTTTTGAATCCTAAGAGAATGCAAAACAGTTCAAAGAGTAATTGCAAAAGCTATAATGCAAAGAAAATCAAACCAATTCTAGCCCCACTACTTGAAGATAGGATCGGTAACGATTTGGCTTTTGAGGTTACTAGAGTAGACTTAGCTGGACCTCTTTAAGATGGAAAGAAAAGCTGGATACTTTCAATCAACTGTGCCATATATGGCACACCATACACCTTGAACTGACACAAAGACTTTTCACTAGCAATTTTTTTTATTGGGGTTCAGAAGTTTATAGTCAAATATGAATGACCAAAGACTATGTATAGTGAAAGTGGTATGAATTTTGTCAGAACTAACAACTTGTTTCGTTTTCTCGATTGAAATAAAACTGCAAAAGAATGTTCCATTTTGAAGATTACATGAAAATTTAATCCCACTACAGCTGTGTTGTGGGGCAAACGGTACGAGCAACATTACTGAAACAGTGAAGAAAATTTTGAGAAGAACATTAAGGAAAAGCTTACCCCACGTAACGATTGTATCCTTTGGAAGTGATAGATGACGAGAACTTGTTTTCACATAAACAAAAGCAATTTAACATTCATGCCAGTAAAGACATTAACATTCATGCTAGTAAAGACATTAACTTGATAATGTCTTTACTAGCATGATAAGATAGTTAAAACTAGATGCTCCTGATAAGATAGTTAAAACTAGATGTGGTAGGACAACTGAAAAACTTTTGCAGTATAATTAGTTTTTTTTTTTTTTTTTTTTTAATTTTTTTTTTTTTTTTTTTTTTTATTCACAGCTGCATCAAGTATATTGTTGTTTAATCTCCTACTTAAGTATACTGTATTTTGATTTGTATTCCACCCACCATAAATCAAAAGGTGGGAGGAGACGTCATGAGTAACTCAACATTTGTATAAACATACTTTTCCTTAAAAGTTATTTTTCAAGGTTTGGCAACCATGTATTTAGTTTATGTTTAGAATACTAAAAACAAAGGATTAAATAAAAGCAAAAATAGTTCACTGTGTACTTAGAGAGAATGACAGTGTGCACAAAAATGTACCATGATGCTTAATTTTTACAACTGTTTTTTTTTTTTTTTTTTTTATTATTATTATTTTATTTTATTTATTTTATTTTTTTTTAAGCCAAAACAAATCATTCTGTACAGAGGAAGAACAGCAACGGTAAAAAAAGGAAGCTATGAGTTTTATTCTTTATTTTCTAGTGTTTTTAAATTTGTTAATTGGTTGCAACTTTATGTTATTGCTTATCTTATTGCTTCACCATTTTTTTAAAGTGGCTGTTGTCTTTCCTGTCTTAGTGAAAATTAGTCATCCACAGTTGGTAACTCAAGGAATGCAGATAATCAGATAATATTAAATAAAGTTCAGATACTTTATATAAATTAAAAAAAAAAAGTTACTTAAATTGCAAAATATGTGTTAATACACTTCTTGCAGTGCCTGTGTAGAAGCCCAAACTCTAAGGCCACTCACATGAACATTTAACCTGAACATCAATCAATTTAAAACAGTTATAAATTAACACATATTTAACAGGCAGGTATTTAATACATACTTTAATCAAATGTGTTAATAAACTGAAATGATATTTCTATGGTTATTTAGATCTCTATATTATATTAGTTTATAAACATATCATTTTTTATCTTTATAAAAGGAAGTTTTTTTAAACTTTCTTTTATGACATCAAAATTCCTATTTCTCAAAGAAAAGATGAATATATATTTTCCAATTATGTTCTCAATTAAGATATTAAAAATATGTAAATGTAATTAGTTTAGATCCAACCAGGCCACAGAAACTCCATACAATAATTAAAAATATAAGCTCGGCAAAATACAAAAATTAATTACAGTCAAAAGTCGTTAATCCGGACTCGTCGGAACTTCGCCGATTCCGGATTATCGATTTTTCCGGATTATAGATCATCAGTTTAAATCTCGTAAGATGGCATGCAGAAATTCTAAAATTAAAAATATGAAACCGTAATTTATGAAATAAAGAACAATTATGATCTAAAGGGTATCAAAATTTACAAAAAAAAAAAAAAAAAAAAAAAAAGCTTAATATTTATTTGTTTACTTTATTAAACATTTCTCTCAATGTAAGTTGTTTAAGTTGCTTCATTTTATGTGGTAATACGTTCTCTTTAATTCTATAAAAAGACATAATTTCTTGTTCAGTTACAAAGTTCCGCTGTTCAAGTCCCGTTAATTGCTGTGCCGAGAATACCGACTAACTTGTCAATCGAAATTTTTTCGTTTTCACTAACCTCTCTGTCACATTCTTCATGTCTTTATCCATTTTTTTGCAGCAGCAATTCCACTTTTTGTTTGTTGGACATCGAAACATACTTTCGTTTTGTAGATCCTTTGGAAGTTCCAGCATCGGATATTCTATTTGACATAATCGAAAGTTCAAGTTTACTTTTATAAAATTGCTCTTACAGTCTGCAAAAAATAATAAGCGGGATCCAATTCGAAGATTAAGGAACAACGCAATCATTAACATTAACTGAAATAGATAATTAGATAATTTTAGCTTACACCATCCGTTATACATTAAACGCGCAGGCGAAAACGTATTCTGCACTTGCGCACACGCATATGCGCAGTAGTCAGGGTCTTACGCGCACGCGTAAAACCCCTGTGCGCATGTGCCGACGCAGCGCATGCGCAGAAAGTTTTTAGCTTTGAGGTCCGGATTATAGATCATTCCGAATTATGGGTGTCCGAATTAACGACTTTTGACTGTACAGATTACCTTTTGTCCAAGGAAGAGCTTCTTTTCTGACAGCATTGTAACAGCACCAGTTTGATTGCTAAGGGAATTTGGAAGATCTTTGCTAGCCTGAATGTACGAAATATTTTATGTTATAGTATTATTTTCAATTAATATCAGAGAACATTTTTAAAACAAAAGATATGCATTTCATATAATTAATGTATAGTTTGTGATTAAAAGAAATTCAGTACTTTGTAAGTCCAGATTTTTAGATTTCCATCCAAATAGTTAGATTATCTTTCTTTTGCTAAGCATATTTACTGTAATGCAAATGAGGAAATTTTAACATATTTTTCTTAAAGATTACATAATTAAAAATGATACAATTTTATCTCACCTTAAAATGCTCTCTTTTTTGGAAAAAAATAAACAAAGAAATTATTTTCCAAAATAATAAAATACATAATCTCTATATCCCATTTGGCAAAAAACAAAACAAGTAATCCATTTTTATCCATTAAAATTAAACTAAGGCATTTTACTGGTGCTCAATAATAAAATTAACAATAATAAACTTATTATTGATATTGTTAAAATAAGATGCATCTAATAAAAGGAACTGTAGTCATATATTCTGTGGTGTATCGAGAACTTAATCCTAATCGAACTTAAAACTGGTGCATCGCTAAGTATGCGAAGCTATTGTAAACCAGAACACAGACTGAGAATGACGGCAGTAAGAGCTGCACGTATGTATGCGAGTGATGATGTATGTATGTATATAATAATGTAACTAAATGTAATGTCTTGTGCAATAAATACCCACTACAGACACAGTAAAGCTGGCAACGAAAGATATGAGATTTTTAAAAATAGTAGAAGTGCTGTCGTGACGTGTTTTACCACTATCGGAGTACTAGTTATGGATTAGGGGATTCCCTGAAGACTGCTCAAGTTAAAGCTTTTATAATCTTCCCCCTCCCTTGGAGAATCAACCATGGAGCAGCTAGTAGAGCAGAATAAAACTCCGATGGAAAAACTAACTTCAGTTATCACTCCACCAAATTCTAAACTTTCTGTTCAGTTAAAAAAATATAATAAACATGAAGAACAGTTTCATTCATTTTTAGAAAGATTCAAAAGTTATTTAGATACACAAAATGTTTCAAAGGACAAACATGGGAAATTACTGATTTCCAGTTTGTCAGAAAAATGTATAGGCTGTTAAAAAACTTGCTGGCTCCTGATAATCCTTCCGATACAGATTATGATGTGTTAAACACAAAACTGAGAAATAATTTAAATCCGAAGCCACTTAATCATCATTTAAATTGGCATCATTTAAATCCGAAGCCAATTCCTAGCAGGCATGTATTTTTAAATTGAAAGCAGCATGAGGGAGAAATAATTAGTGTGTACATGGCAGAGTTAAGGTCATTTGCCATACCATGTGCTTATGATCAAAGCATGTTAAATACAATGTTGCAGGATGTGTTTGCTGGTGGACTAAGAGATACGGCTATTCTTGATAGAATTTTTGAGCAGGATAATATCAGTTTAGACAACACTTTAAAAATAGCTTTGGCAATGGAAAAAGTGTTAAAAGGTGCAAACGAAATAATTGAGAAACCAGTAGGAATTAAAAAATTTAGTGTTAGGAATAAAGGTAAATTTAAGTCAGTCGCTCTAAAATAAAAATTTGAAAAACAAAACTTTTCAGCTAAGAGTGCTAATGGCAAAATGTGATCATGATGTCCTGGAACTGACCACGATGATAGAAATTCCTGTAAATTTAAAACAAGTATCCTCAGATTTTGTAAGAAAATTGGACACATTGAAAGAGGATGCTATAACACTAAAAATGCTGAAAGCAAAAAAACAAAAAAAAAAACAATTAGATGTAGGAAAGGAAAACATAGTTCCTATAAACAATATAGATTCCAGTGAGGTCAAAAATAGGAAACCACCCATAATGGTCCAAGTGAACATGGAAGGAAAACCGACAGCTATGGAATTGGATACAGGGAATGCAGTATCAGTAATGAGTTTAAAGAATTTCCGGTAAATTTCGAAGAAGAAAATTCAAAATACAAGTCTGATATTTAAAACATATAATGGAAAAAAAAAAAAAAAAAACTGATACCTTTATGATTTACTACAGTTAATGTAGAATATAAAGGTGAAAATAAAAACTTAAATCTTTACATTGTAAAAGAAAACCTTGATACAATATTTAATTGTAAATGGCCTTAAGAGATTAATTTAGATTGGACCGCTATAAAGTCAATTTCGGTCTCACAAAAGAGTAGTTTAAATAAATTATTGGAACATTATAAAGAGACTTTGATGAAAAATCAGGGAAGATAAAAAATTATGAGGCTCAACTTGAATTAAAACCATATGTTTCACCAAAATTTTGTAGAGGTAAGGAAGTACCATTTGTGTTAAAAGGCCAGACATATGAAGAAATTGATCGCTGGAAAAAGGTTGGTATAATCGAAAATGTTGAAACATCGGAATGGGCAACTCTGGTAGGACCAGTAGTTAAGCCGGATGGCTCTTTAAGACTGTGTGCAGATTACTCGGTGACAGTAACCCCAAATATTGTTATGCATCAAAACCCTTTGCTGATCACTGAGGGAAAATTTCCATGTTTGAGCGGGAGAAAATATTTTTCAAAAACTGACTTTAAACATGCTTACCTACAAATGAAAGTACACCCTGAGACTCAAAATTTGCTAACAATAAACACACAGAAGGGCTTATATAAGTCTAAGAGATTAATGCTCAGGCTAAATGCAGCGCCAGCAATCTGAAAATGTTACATTGACGGACTATTACAAGGAATGGAAAGGTGTAAAGTCTTCATTGGATGATGTGCGAATAACAGGGTCTGTTGATGATGCACATTTAAATACTTTAAAAAATTTCTTTGAAAAATGTAAAGCTCATGGACTACAATTAAATTTGGAGAAAAGTAAATTTTTTTCCAGATGAAATACAATTTTTAGGTCATGAAATTGATGCTAATGGTTTCCGTAAAACTGATGAAAAAATATCAGCAATTGCAAAAGCCTCAAGACCCAGAAATGTCCAGGAAATTCAAAGGTTTTTGGAATTGGTTAATTTTTATAAGAACTTTTGCGAATTCAAAATTAGTGACAATTGCAAATCCCTCATGCCAATGAACTAAGAAAAACTCAAAATGGGTTTGGATGAGGGATGGTCAAGAAGCTTTTCTAAATAATAAAAAAGAATTGTGTTCATAAAAAGTTTTGATGCATTATGATCCAAAATTGCCCTTAACATTGGCAACTGTTGCATCACCAGTGGGGTTAGGTGCAGTACTTTTTCACAAACTTCCTGATGGAATGGAAAGGCTAATTGCATATGCTTCTAGAACACTGACTGAAACAGAGACAAAGTTTTCTGAAATTGATATAAGAGCCTTGTCAATCATTTGGGGAACTAAAAATTTTTTTCTGTACTTAAAAGGCAAGAAATTTATGCTAATTACAGATTATAAACCTCTTGTTGCAATTTTCGTTCAAAGAAAGGCATAGCAGTTTTGGCAGCAACAAGACTCCTGCACTACACCTTGGCTTTACAGTCATTCCAATTCGGTATTATTTACCGTAAAACAAACTAGCATGATAATGCTGACTTTCTATCGACAAACTAATTACCAACAAACTAACAAACTCAGAGCCACTGTCTATTCAGGATGATGTAACTATTTTTCAATTACAGCAGACTGAAACTCTTCCAATCACTGCCAGAGATTTGACTAAAGAAACTGAAATTGGTGCAGTACTCAGTGCTCTGCTATGAATACTTCAAAGCGGTGGTGAACTGAAGGAAGGGAGATGGAGTACAGTCTTTAATGTGGCTATATAATGTATGGCCAACGTGTTTGCGTTCCAAAATGATACCATGAGAATGTTTTGAAAGAGTTGCACCACCGACACTTAGCAACTGTAAAGATGAAAGCAATTGCTAGATCTTACGTGTTTTGGAATGGTATAGATAAAGATATCGAAAATACTTAAAAAAAAAAAACTGTTTTGAATGCGCAAAACATAAAATAGATACTCCGAAAGTAAAGGTTCATCATTGGAAGTGTTCCAATGGAATATATTCACATCGATTATGCAGGACCTATTTTTGAGAATATGTTTTGATAATTGTCGATGCTCACTCAAAATGGCTAGAAGCCTATCTAATGAAATCAAGCTCGAGTTTCAAAACAATAGAATGAATATGAAACTTTTTTGCATTATTCGGATTGTGTGATAATGGGCCACAATTCACTTCACATTAGTTTAAGATATTTCTATAGAGTAACAGAATCAAACACAAAACCACAGCACCATTTAAACCATCTAGTAATGGGCAGGCTGAATAGTATGTGTTTACAGTAAAACAATCCTTAAGAACCATGCAAAATTATCTGGGAACTTTGAGGCAAAAACTCAGTACATTTTTAATGCAATACAGAAAAGCTCCAAACTTTACAGAGCCTGCAATGTTAATGCTGAAGAGGAAAATTCGAACAAGAATACATTTATTGAGACCAGATCTCAAAAGGAGGGTGGAAGACAGAGTTTGAAAAGAACTCTACGAGTTTGTAGACCGAGGATTTAGAGTTGGTGATAAAGTAGTAGTAAGAAATTACCAGCAAGGTGACAGACGATGGAGATTTGGAACCATCCAATCCAAGGATGGGCAACTTCATTACACTATAAATGTTGGTCAGCTATAGTGGCCACATGTCAATCAGATGTGTGATGGAGGAACTATAATTGATGATGGCTGCAAACATCCCCATCCAGCTCTTGCGATTTCCAAACAGCCTGATAAGAGTGGAATTCCAGAACCATCCAAAGCCACCAAGTAGATGAGTCTGTGTTGACTTCCGATCCCAAGGTTTTACCAGATGCTCCATTCAGTGGGATCTGCTGCTGATACAGCCAGGTTCCCAAAGAAGCCAACTGTGCTACAACCTTTGCATCGGTCCATCAGAATTCGATGACCCCTAAATAGACTGAACTTGTGATAAAGGGGAGCGGGATATCAAAAGCTGATGCAGAGCCAAGCATCGCCAAGGACACAAAACTATCGTAAACCTGAACTCAGATTGAGAATGCCGACAGTAAGAGTTGTAAGTGTGTATGCGAGTGATGTGTTTTGCATATAATAAAGTGTAATGTAATTAAATACAGTGTCTTGTGCTATAAATACCTATTAAAGACAAAGTATATTCAGTCTCTAATTAGCTTTCTATTAATATTTATAAGCTATATACTTGATGAACATTACAGGCTAATCAGTATATACATAATTTAAATTAACAACAAGTGACCATCACACTGAATTTATTTTTTATATCATTTAAATCAAGGAAAAAAATTAAAAACATATAAATAAATTAACAAGGGGCTTAATTTTGCTAGACCCAGATTAGGAATTCTAGTGGATTGTCTTCTTTTAATGACAAATAACCTAAGTAATTTAAGAAATACTAAACACAAGTTAAGAGTGCCGGCAGTAGAGACATACTGTTTCTTTATATTTTTTTTATAATCATTTTCAAATAATTGCTCTACTGTAACTATAAGTGACTAATTTGTTATACAATTTAAATTACCAATAGTTTGCACATATCATAATTTAGCTATTACAGAATACAGAGTGTGATTACTCGTTTGCCACAAGTACAATGACACAAAATATTTTTGAAGTAAAGTAAGAAAACAAGCAAATAAACAGCAGTATGTACAATAAATTAGAAACATTGTGTTAAAAAAGTATTATATATTTTTATATTTTGTAAAATGCAAACCAATTATAATGATATACTCAAGGAGATAGACTACTATTTTAAAGCTAGAAGTTACTTAAAATTTGTTTAAGCTAGAATGTGTAATATAACAAAGAAAAAGCATATTTTCTCGTTAAAGTTCACATTTAACACATAATAACTTTATAAAATATGCATTTATCAATTAGTAAATAATATATCTCCTTACATGAAGTATTCTAAACATGTATACCAAATTGCAGAAGATCTCAATGATAATTTTTAAAGACAGTGTGTTTCTTGTTAGCATTAAAATACAAAAAATGAAAAACGAGATACACACATTTAAAGAATTCAAGCACTCGATTATCTACTTTTAATCAGTTTGTAAACTTAAAATTCCCCTGACTTTTTAACTAATGCCCTCTTGTTTTTCAGAATTTACATTTTTTTTTTTTTTTTTTTTGCTTTCTCGCAGCTTTTAAAATTTTTCTCTGCTTTTTAAAGCCAAATCAGGGAATGTTGTTTTGCATTGTCGATAAGGTTAACATTAAACCTTTCATACTCGTCTGGAATGTAGTAACCAATTTATCTATAAATAATTTACCATATCTATACCAATATTTATCTATACCTATAAAAAATTAATGAATATTACTCAGTAATAAATTTTAAAAAAATGCTTATCAGCAATGTAAACACAACCAAAACATGAGCAAAAATGCATTAGTGAATTCATAACACACAGCTTGAAAATATGCTAGAACTTTGTGTTGTTGCCATCGTAAAACTACTTTTTGGTCTTTAAAATGCAATTAAATAAGTTTTAAGCCTTGAAACTAAAAGTAAACAACTCTGACACCATCATTTCGGCCTTTTAAATATTTATGTCTTGTGCACTTCTGGTATGCTGTTCCAGGACAAGGTGTCAAATCAGCTATCATAACTCCGGTTTAAATGAATGTAGGAACAAAATTCAAACAGTCTTGGAAACATAAGAAATAAGATTTTCATCAAGCATAAGAAAATAACAAGGAATTTTTTTACCAAAATCTCAGTTTCTAAGGTATACAGCCCCCTTAAATAAGCATCATTTGATTAAAATATACTTCTGAATATTAAAAACCTATCACTAAGGAAAAATTTTAAGGTGCAGTATCTTTCAAGAACTACATCTTTTTCCATTAAGACTATTTCAGGCACATATGTAAGATATCAAATAATGAAAATTAAATGCACATTGCACCCTTTTGTGAAGCAGCATCTTTTTCGCTCATATGACCAATGTTGTAGCTGTGGCTGATTGCTACAGTTGGTTGCATTAAAGTAACACATCATAGCTTATTTTTCACTGAGAGAATTTTCTGCATTAAGCCATTTTTATTACGTCAAATAATAATTACATAGCTTGTCTTGTAAGTTAACTCTACTAATAGTTTCTGATGTTTGACCAGTCTCATAATTAAGAATTTTAAACACAAGGAAATAATAAAGCACAAGATATTTCTTACTGGGGAAGAGGTATAATTCTGTGCCCTTGCAATTTATTTTATTAATAAAAAAGCATACACTCAACATGGTATTTCTGTTTTAGCTTCTAATTACTTGGTTAACTGATTATAGTAAAGCAAACAAGAATTGCTCCTGATAAAGACTTCCCAAGTGAAAGTATCTTGCATTCATACTAGATGCACACATAGAAAACTGATTTGTTAGGATAAACTACTATAGTTCAATAGTCTTATTCATTCAACCATTAGTGGACAACTGCCCATATTCAATTTGAACAAAACAAAACAAATTTAACACAGAAGTTTATTTGGATATGGGAAAGCAGAGGGGGAAGGACTCAAACACATGTTGAACTCAGAAATCAGCAGTCTTAATCACTTGGCCACTGCTGAATCATGAACATGAGAAATGCCATAAATTAACACAGCTGCCTATAAATTATAAAACTATATATTAATACTTTCATTAAATATTATCAATCAAATCTTTTTATTACTGCAAGCATTAATATACACCTATTTTTAATAGAGATAAATATCTGTCAATTTGACATACTTGTGGTTCTGGCTTTAACATTAGGCAAATATTAAAAAAATTAGCTGATTTAATTTATCACACTATGTTTCCATTTAAGTATTTTTATCCTTTAAATAAAGTTACAAAAACTGCATTGATGTCATTGCAAATAAGAAAAAGGAATGACAACACTGAATAGTTACTCATTACATGAAATAAACAGAGTGACTTGCATGCCACTTAACTGGAACGTATCAAAACATGCATATAGTATAATAATTTCAATTTTAAATACTTAAGCTCTCAGTGTAATTTTACATACAAAGTGTTTCACATACACAGGTTTCTAGAAGAAACTTACAAATTTATGTAAGAAAATTTGGTTTAAAAAGATCTGATCCTGGAAACGACAGTTTAAACCATATGAACTGCTACAAGAATGATAGATGTGGAAATAAAACTGTAAAAAGAAATTTACAACTTTACCTTGCCTTTTCCTTTGCCCTTCCCTTTAATACTGGCACTGACACTTGCTTTCCTGGGCATTTTCTTTGGTGGTGTATAAACTGGTTTGGCTTTCTTTGTAGATGACACAGGAGCTGGAGAAGAAGGTCCAGAACGGGGAGAAGGCATTGTCACAAAACGGCCTTTCTTCTTTGCTAGCAATTCAGGTTCAATTCGGGGCAATACACCACCCGAAGCAATGGTAACGTTTTTTAGGAGCTGAAATAGATATTCAATGCATTTATATATGTGAAAATAATCATTGGTACTTACATATGAATGCAACTAACTTGGCACAATTTGGCTATTTTTTACAGATCAAAAAGTAAAAGCTACATATTTGGTGCAAGTTGGTGGTTTTCGCAACCTTCTTTTTTTTTTCAGAAAGGTTCCCAAACTATCAATATTTATCATAAGTGAGTAAACATTATCAACACAGGAAAAGAAAAGATACTTAACAATTTAAAATATAAACTTGAGTTATTAAATAAGGATTACATGCTAATTAAAAAATAAAATACTTAAATATTTTTTCAAACCTTCCTGCAATTTCTTTGTATTATTCGTCTCCTGAAGTGCATAGCAATTTGTTTTCACTAAAAAAAAAAAAAAAAAAAAAATTGCAGAACAACAGAATTGTGGAGATTCAGCTTCGCACACCCCTGAGCAACAGTGGCTATCTAGGAAATGCATTTTCTCATTGTTCCCTTAGAAAATTTTAAGTAAAATTCTGAATTCCTGCAGAAATTTTATCACAGTTTCTCCCACTGCTGGCAAATTCCACAAACTCATATTTTTAAACTAAGTTTAAGACAAAAATATCAGAATATGTTTGTAAAAATGGTTTGAACTTGGAATACAACATAAAAGAAATGCATATAAAAATAGTGATGGTGCTTGATTCAAATGATTGTTATGAACATGGTTGACAGAGTTTAGGACATTCTGAAAATTTGGCGATGTTAGTACCCGATTATTAGGACTACATATTACAAAATACAAAATAATGAATAAAACAAGTGTTGCAGATTTATAATGTAGTTGTGTTGTTGGGAAGCAAATTAAATGTTTAACTGTAATGTACATTGATTAAGTATTTAGTTTTGAAATTAGAATTTTGCTTTGTAAATGACTACAGCCTTGTCTTGTAATGCTTTTACTATGACGATTAAGTCATTGTTTAGTTTGTTTTATAAATTTTAGCTATAACCTGGGTTAGCATGTTTCTTCCAAAGTAGAAAAAACAGCTAAAAGAAATGGGAAATGTAAGAAACTAATTTTTGAACTTATGTTTGTATTATTTTCATAATATTTTATTTGTACATTGGCATTTATATTACTATTTTAAATATTTTCGTTTTCTATATACTTTAAGAAGCCTCATTTGTATGCTTGTGACAGCTTTTCATTGGTAATATATGTATGTATATATGTATTTTTGTGTATCTGCTATGATATTTCTTTCACATCTGTGAAATTATTTAGAAAGAAAAGAGGAAAAAATTCTGGAAAATTTATATTAAAACAAAAATCTGAAAGCTTTCAGATTGTATATTATGCCCAAAGGGGCTTTTTTTTTTCAACACTTTGTGTGTAACATTTATTTATTAAATATGTTCTTCGCACTTAAATCATAAAATTCAATTCAACAGCAATATTGCAAAATAATTTTAAAAGAGCATGTCTTTAGAATTTCCGACACACATTCATGCGCGCCGCCGGCGATAATTTTTTTTCTTTTCCTCCGTACAGTGTTGCCACTGCTAGTTTTGAAATTGTTGAGTTTGTTAATCAAAAATTCGCTAAAGTTTTACAAAACATGAAATAGATAATAAAGCAAATTCCAGATTAGTGCTTCCAGATGCCCATATTTGGGTGGAACATTACATCATTCAAAACTTGATGTCTCTAGGTACCGTAGCTTTATCACAATGCGAGAAACATACATAAGTTTATGCAGATTTTTCATTATTTAATTTCTTTTAATATAATGCAAGGCTCTAATATTTGGTGGCAACAGTTTGAAAAGTGATACGCTGTTTATAGTGATTTGAAGCAAAATGCCAAAACGAAATTAGCCCTTCTGGACTAAAAATTCTGAAAAGGTTTCAGATTTTAAATTATGTCCAAGGGGGCATTTTTTAAACATTTTGTGCGTTACCTTTATTTATTAAATATAGTGTTCTTTCCCCTTAAACCATAAAATTCAGTTCAACAGCAATGTCACAAAAATATTTTAAAATGACCATACTTCAGAATTTCTGATACACAGTTCCGCACGCGGTTTATAAAATGGATTCAACCCCTCGGTAGAGTGTTGCCATTGTTTGATTTTAAATCGCTGAGTTTGTTAATCCAAACTTCATTAACGTTTTACAACATATGAAATCAATAATAAAACAAATTCCAAATTTTATATTCATAGTAGGATTACGTCATTCAAAATTGGATGGCTCTAGGTACTGTTGTTTTATCACAATGCGAAAAACACGCATTTATGCAGATTCTTCATTATTAAATTTATTTAAATATAATACAGGGATCTAATAATTGGTGGCAACAATTTGAAAGTGATACACCGCTTATGGTGATTCAATGCAAAATGCCAAAACGAAAACAATAGTCCTTCAGGGACAAAGCCCCTTTGGACTAAGAACATTGAATCTACATCATCGTAAAAACAGTGTAGCTAAGTAACAACAATAATAATTTCTGAAATTTGAGATAAATGAATATATTCAACATTCATTCTAATCCTGTTGAACTTTAATCTCAATTAAAAATTCACATGAAATTTCTGGTATGACATATTCCAGTACTTATGTATTATCTCATCAACTGGCCAAGTAACAAAATTTAATGTCAATTATGAATCATTCACTTCTTTAGAATTCAGCAATAGTAATTGGTGATTGGTGAATATTGCCGATGATCTATAGGATAATGCATAAGCACCCATATTGCTTTCCAAATTTTATATTCATACCATACAAGATTTTAGACATGGCAAATAGCATCAAGATAAAGTACACTGCACAAAAAAAGGGGAGAACATTTCTATACTTCCTGTTCTACTGGGTCGATTGATGAAATTCAAATTGTGTTTTTCATGTCTCGAAAGCGCGACTTTGGATATATAGTAGACTCATATATAGCATTATTCTAACATAGGTATTCTGACAGAAACTCAGACTTTTTCTGAAATGATATGCCAATTGTTTTCCATATTTTGATTCTATGACTCAAATTATGCCTAAAATATTAAATTTTGTAAAATTTGGTGCAAAATTTATGGAGAAATTCAAAAATTTATCTAGGCAAATTTTTTCAGTTTGTGACAAGAATAATTTACTTGGCGAACTTCTTAATTTATGCCAACCGATTTTCAATTCCTTTATTTCATTGTAAATGGGTGGAAAAAAGTCATCATTTATACTTTCAAATAATTTTAACAAAGTGCGTAAATCGCATTTGACATTACTATCACTTATAACAAATTTCAAAACTTGCCAATATGTAAATTCACCTATAGCTTACAAAATTTTGAATTTAAAAAACTCTAATTTTTGGTTGGTGTACCTAGTACTAGTACATCTACTTTAAGATGATGTGAAAATTTTTATAATACAAAAAGTGTTTCGAAAAATTTATAAAAGTACAAATTTTAAAAATAAATCATAAAAAATGTGCGAATTATACTTAAAGCTTTAAATTTCGAAGTAAAGTAAGTAAGCCTAAATTTCAAAATCTGAAAGAAGGAATGATGTAAGTTTAATAAAAAATATAATAAAAAAATAAATAATTAATAAATATATTTCAAACTCAGTTAACATTGAGGTGCTAAAATTTTGAGAGCTAATGTTTTAAAAACTACTCGTGTGATTTTTACAAAACTTGGAAGTCTGGCATAATTCGAGTCATAGAATCGAAATATTGAATACAATTGGCATGTCATCTCAGAAAAAGTTTGATTTTGTGTAAAAATACCTATACAGTCAAAAGTTGTTAATTCGGACACCCATAATCCCGACCTCAAAGCTAGAAACTTTCTGCGCATGCATCGTGTTGACGCATGTGCGTAAGACCTTTACGGCTGCGAATATGCGTGTGCGCATGCTCAAAATATGTTTACGCATGCACATTTAATGTATAATGGACGGTATAAGCTAAGCTAAAATAATCTAATTCAGTTAATGCTGCAGATTGCGTTGTTCCTTAATCTTCAAATTGGATCCAGCTTATTATTTTTTGCAGACTGTTAGAGCAATTTTATAAAAGTAAGCTTGAACTTTTGATTATGTCAAATAGAATTTCCGATATATATTTACTAATATGTAAAGGATCTACAAAGCGAAAGTATGTTTCGAAGTCCATTAAACAAAAGTGGAATTGCTGCAAAAAATGACTTAACCATTCCGAAATCTGTTTATCAATTTCACGCTGCTCTGCGGCGGAGGGGGGTGGCGCTGTGCGCAATGAATTGGAAGTTGATCTGTCAGCACTATCCTTATCTTCAGAGCAGATGTTTTTATTCTATTTGGCTTACAATTCCGTACTAAATGTAGTATTTCATCTCTATGTATTCCGTCTTATATATATAATATGATTTAAATCAAATTCCTCGTCATTATAATTTGCTTCCGATAGTGAAGAAAGTGACACAGAGGTTATTGAAAACGAAAAAATTTCGATTGACAAATTATAGGAGCAATTATAGGACTTGAACAGCGGAACTTTGTAACTGAACAAGAAATTATGTCTGTTTAATAGAATTAAAGAGAAAGTATTATCACATAAAACGAAGGAACTTAAACAACTTACATTGAAAGAAATGTTTAATAAAGTAAACAAATAAATATTAAGCTTTTTTTTTTTTTGTAAATTTTGATACCCTTTAGATCATAATTGTTCTTTATTTCATATTTTTAATTTTATAATTTCTGCATGCCATCTTACCAGATTTAAACTGATGATCTATAATCCGGAAAAATCGATAATCCGGAATCGCCGAAGTCCCGACGAGTCCAGATTAACGACTTTTGACTGTATTAGAACAATGCTATAAATAATCTAATGCATAGCCTAAGTCGCACTTCCGAGACATGAAAAAATGGAAGTTGAATTTCGTCAATCGGTCCAGTAGAATGGGAGATATAGAACTGTCCCCCTCTTCTTTTGTGCAGTGTACATTTTTAGTAGCAGTAAATTTTTAACAAGTTTAGCAAATTTCTTCCATACATGAAAAAGTAAAAATGATTTTTTTTTTTTTTTTACTTATTTAATAATAATACATTTATATTTCATTCCTATATAACAGTGCAATAATTACTAATCAATTTAAATATTTTCATTTTATATATATATATATCAAGCTTCATTTGTATACGTGCAGTAAGTTTCTTTTGTAACATACATATGTAATGTTCATTTTGCACTTGCAATTAAATCTGCTTTTATATCTGTAAGTCTTTGTGGATTTCAAAACTGAATTTCAGTTTGTAACAGGAATAAAATTAGAAAATAGATATATTTATTCAAGAAAATAAATAAATAAATAAAGTAAAATTAATTATTGAAAACTGAATCTACATCATCAACAATGTGTAACATACTATAAATGAATAAAAATTCCACCATACTTTTCACTACTCTTTTTTTAGGAAAAGTTAATTTATGCATTTTACTGCCGAAATAATAAAACATTTATTTTCAAATGAATTAAAATGTTATTAGTAAATTTATTTCCTTTAACAGCTCTATACACCAGGAATAGCTTCATAAATTTAAATTTGATTTTTAGCACGTTCCTTGCCACGTGGGGCATATGCACTCCACGCTAAACATTCCGTTCAAGCCATTTAGTATTATCATTGTAAAATGAAGAATTTTTTAAAAGTTCATTATGCAGTCAATTATGGGCATCTTCATACTACTGCTGATGCCCTCATTTAATTGTGAGGCGTATACGCCCCACGCGGCGTGATTAGTAATTTTTTTTTATCGCCAGAAACAAAATAATACAAATGTAAAGCGTGAACGGGAAGTCTTCAAAAAACGGTCTGGCAGAGAACGTGTTAAGGTACAGTGCGCAAAACAGGGGGGGGGACAGTTCTATATCTTCCGCTCTACTGGGCCGATTGAAGAAATTCAAATTGCGTTTTTCATGTCTTGAAAGCACGACATAGGATATATATTATATTTATACATAGCATTGTTCTAATATAGGTATTTTGACACAAAATCGGGCTTCTACTGAAATAACATACCAATTTTTTATATCTGCAGATAATGAAAATGTTATAAACAAATTCAGGGATTTTCGGCATAATTTTCAATATAAATTCAGTCATTAAGCGGTTAAGTTGATAAAATGTGTTTCATTTTATTATGTTGATACTGATAGTAAACTTATGAAAAATATCGATAGAAAATCTTTTTAAAAGTGCCACCAAAATTTTCACTTGCACTGAATGAGTAATTTTTCAACTGTAAAAAAACTCCACATTGCACCACGATATTAATATATGAGAACGATTTTTAAGATTGTGTTTACCTTAATAATTATTTAACTGTACAAAAAATACAATCCTGTCATGAAGATGTATTTGTGTTGACAGTGCAACAGATGTCAATACCAGATTAGCATAGCTTTGTATGTTAGCTGTTAGGTTGAAATACATTTTAAGCTAATTTCACACTACAGATGTTAAGTTGCAGTATTTATAAAAAGATGACAATAAATATTATTATCAAATAATGTAAAGTTTTATATTTTATTATAGAGCATCATTACTGAGATCCACAACTAAACATGGGCATGATAATTATGCAGTGTGCTATAATTTAACTTCTGAAAATCTGTATTTGTCTTCAACTGTTTAAAAAAAATGTCATTTTTGAAATTTATAGTTGTCCAAAAGTATTTGACTAAATATAATAACTAAAAAAGTAATGACAAATTAAATTTAATTTCAGATACATTTAAATTAAACTTATTTATGTACTTCATGAAATACTAAGATATGATAAGCTTGGTTAGCCATATCATAATACCTGAAGGATTAAATTTTCCCTTTGGATTTGTTATGTTGTAGGGGATTATTTTAATTTTCTAATAGTTATTTTAATTTTTGAATTAAGCTGTACTTTACCTCCTTGTTTTCCACCTACAATTCCCTAACAGAATGAGTTTTCAAAATTACGTTTTATGTAAATGAGATAGAACCAGTATTTAACTTGAAGTCTTGGCCATTTCAGTAGAAGAGCTTAGAAGTTCTTCATACAGTGTGTTCTGCTTTCTGGCCACATCATTGCTTTAAATCTAATATTACTATACTTCAGCTATTTTGTTAAGTGCCTGTAAGTATTCGTTGGTGATCTTTAATAAGGGCCAACTCTGTCAGTTATTTCTGTGCAGCTTCATCTGGTTTTAGTTTAGTTAACATTAGATTAGTTTCTTATTTTCTATCTTAAGTTAAAGCCCAAGTGAAGGCTTACTGTAATCCGAGAAGGGCCATCTGTTAAATATCTTGAGTTGGAATAAAGAGTAAATTTAAGCCTTCTTTGGATTTAATACTGACTAGGAACTCTGTGATTTATTTCCTGCACAGTTCTTAAATATTCTACCTTGCAAGAACCACAAATTTAGCAAGAATATTACAATATCAATGACACATTTGCTGTATTTGATGAAAATAAAGTTTTGACAATTATGAATTCTGTGGATTCTACCTTCCAGATCACTTCTGAAGTTGAAGCATTCCATTTCCTTTTTCTCAACATTTCAGGCATACAAAATAATTCTAGTTTTGATACCATATGGAAACCTTTCTCAATTTGTCTCAGCACAACCAGATCCAGACACTGTGCACACACATGATTTGCTATATAAAGTCAACCCCTGATCACTAACTGAACTATTTGAGAACTCTTACAATTGATTGATTAGAAATCATTTCAGATTTCTACCATGAGTCAAAAAAAAAAAAAAATTTCAATTCTGATATAAAAAAAATTATCCTATTCCAATTAATGCTAATAATTTAGTTGCTATTTCTTTCTTTCCTGCTATCAGTTACAAAAATGCAACTTTCCTGTCATTCTTTCTTGTCGGTAAAATAACACAATTTTGTCCTTAAAGACCCTATTCCTGAAATGAATTGTTAGAGAATTCAGTACAGGTTACATTGAACAAATGAAGCAAGTTTTAAAATTTCACATAAAAAATGTGAATCTTATTTTCTAAAATTCGAAAATGAAAAATCATTTATTGCTCAACACTGTTGGAATGCAAACTGCAAATTCAATTTTGCTTTTACCAGAACAATCCAAGAAACTTCTTCAGTTGGTAAATCAGTTTTTCTATGAGGCTTTCAATATCTATAACATTTTGTCAATGACTCGCATTCTAACCACAATCAATAAAATCGCAGAATTTATCATAGAAAGCCTCATTAGTTAGTAGTAAATTTTCGAAAATTCATCTGTCTTTCTGTTTATATCTTTCCTTAAGTTTCAGCTGAAAAGTTTGAACTGCTGAAAGCATTTTTGCTAAAATAAAATATATTTCAATCAATTATGTTTTTCTTACATTCAGTTTTACTTGGTGTGTCACTTACCATTTTTCCAATTTTAGCAAGTTATATAACATACTTATGATTGTAAATATTAGTTATGATTGCATATATACTTATGATTTTATATATTTAACTTATAATTATATATATTAATATTAAATTCAATATTACATTAAATTAAAGTATGCAAAATAAAAAATAATTTTTATTCTTTAATAAAGAAAAACTACACTATTTAACACCAATCAAAAACATAATTTCATATCTTAACAAGACAGAGATAATAAATACCAAATGAAGTTCTTCATCATTAGCTACAGCAAGAAGAATATGACGTGGAGTAACTCTGCCTTTTTTGTTATCTCTGGCAGCATTTCCAGCTAATTCAAGAATTTCCGCTGCAAAGATTAAAAATTTACTTGCATCTGATGGGAAATTGTACAAACACTCCCATGTATCATATGGTACTACAACACAAATAAAATGCATTTCTTTACATAAAAACCAAACTGAAATATTTTTTTATCTCAAATTTAATACAGTTGAGCCCCGATATAACAAAAGACACTTAAAACAAATCCCTGCATATAATGAACGAAATCTTTTGGTCCCATCCAGTTTCTTATAATGTTATTTTATACTATAACAGCAAATCTTAAAGAGTATGAAAATCAGATAAAACAAACCACATGGATACATTACATTGAAACTTTTTCATATATTTTATATTTTGCACAGAATTCTTGCAACTTTTAACAAAACAATTACTACCCATTAAAATAATCCATAATTAGAATGTTAGGATTCACATTCTAATCCCACTCCACATTCCTTCCATTAAATAAAGGAAAATGTAGAAGGTTCTTTTTGTAAAGGAAAAACATGTTTTTTTTTTTTTAAATTTTTTCATCTATCTTTATCTGTGCTCTAAACAGAGGCTATGTCAGACACATGTGGCACTCAACTCTAGGTGAACAAGAATACAATAAGCATATCTTCGAACGCCATATTATATATGTTATGTCGAGAATTTTAATTATTAATACATATTTTAAGTTATCATTATTCCAGAATTTTTATTTGTACTCATATGTATTTTAATTTGGAAAAAAGCATTCTTAAATTGTTAAAGCCTTATTTAGCTGGTAGTTCTTGAGACTGTAGTGTAATAAAGACAGGAAACGGTTGCAAGAGCCACCTGGTTTATTGGTTCATGGCCTTTTTATTAACAATGGAGGCTGTAGGGTGTTGTGTTGTCGCCTTTTACTAATGGTGTTTGAAGATTTTTGGACATAGAAATATTTTGGACTTGGTCAGAATCTTGTACTTTGAAATATCGTCTTTGCAATTTTTGGACTTAAAAACATTTTGAACTTGGTCAGAATCTCGTACTTTCAAATATCGTCTTTGTGTCAAAATATTTCTAAGTTTCGGGACTTAGAAATATTTTGGACTTGGTCAGAAGTCTTGCTTTCGCCTTGTTATAGTTGCAATTTTGTTTACTTCAGACAGTGGGGGTTGTTGTTAGCTTAGGTAATTGGATTCAGTTAATCTTTGAATTATGGTAACTTGGCGATTTTTTGGCGAAAATTTTGCGACCAACACTGCTACAGCAACCTGCTAGTTTTTGTTTGGACGCCATTTTGTTTTCACGAAGTAAAGGCTTTTTTTTTTTTTTCCTTCAACATTTTTTTCCCAACAATCTGCTAGCCGAACTACGCTTATGCTAGAACTTTTATGGAACAAAAGTGCTTAATCATGATGAAGATTAGGTGCGAAATTGGGAGAAAGTGCAGAATCGCCAACTGCTTGCCGCATTTTTAAGAATTGCACATACATGGTATCCAAGTACACGTCGACCTATTTTCACTTAAAAAACATTCCCAGAATTGCACAAAAATGGCATTGCGCACACTCTTGACTTTATCCATGTACACTGCTAAAGTCCTAGCTAGTAACCTTTATCGCCTTACCAAAATGTCGCCAAACTACCTGTTACCATATTACAAAGATTAGCCTTGGATTCTTGTAAAGCTTAGTTTCTGCTTGTTAGTTGTGGAGGTCCACTTTAGTTCCCACATTGTGTGTACAGATGTTTTTTGGACTCATTGTCAGATTTTCTTGTTTTTGATTCATTGCGAGGATGTAATTTTCTCAGTTTAGATAAAGTAAAATTCTGGCATTGGTGCGATTTTAATTTTATGATTTTTTGTAAGCCAATGAAATTTTTTGTTGGGGGGAAGTGGAGAGTTTACTTCGGTGCTTGCACCAGATTCATTCGGATTTCTGATTTTTGAGCAAAAATGTAAGAAAGGAGAAAAGAGTGTAGGGGCTTGACCCCTTGCATATAATTTATGGTAACCTGAGTAGTTGAATGTTATGGAAACCCTATTATGATGTATTTGTTTGCATTATTCTGGGAAATTTTGAATCATGGGATGTTTTGCAAGGGCTTTTGTGATGTGTATTGCCTAGGAAGTAATTGCTTGTTTCATTGCTTAGGCGGCACAATAGCTGAATGTTGTAGGATTAATTTGAAGTTTCTGTATGATTTGGAACGAAAGGGGAAAAGTGCATTAATTGACTGGTGTGTAAATGAAGGTTTACTTAGTAGCCATAGTCCGGATCTACGTAGTATATTTTTGACTCTTATTTTTGTGAATTTCTATGGTGATGGCGATATACGGATTGTAGTTAAGATAATTTTAGGAAGTTTTTGGATGCTGTTAAGGAATTTTGTGTGCCACAAACTGAATAAGAAAGAATTTCTAAATAAGGTAAGCGGATATTTGCTTTGTGTAGTGCTTAAATGCATAACAGGTTTTTCCTTTTCTTATGTTATTGTTTGGTTTAAAATGTAGTTTATTGAGATTATGTATTTTTCGTTTGCCTCTACTGTAGAATTGTGTGCTCCTTTGACTTTTTAAGTGAAAATATATCGATGTGTACATGGACAAACTCAAGGGAGTGCGTAAAGCACAGTTTGTGTAATTCTCTGATGTTTTTTTAAGTGAAAATAGGTCAGTGTGTACATGGATAAAGCCAAAGGAGTGCACAATGCCATTTTTGTGCAATTCGAGAATTTTTTTTTTTTTTTTTAAGTGAAAATAGGTCAATGTATACATGGATACCGAGTATGTGCAATTCGACTTCTTATTTTGGCTTGCATATTGGGAATTTTTTAGCCAAAAATTGCTGCTACGCAGGCCCAAAAAACAAGTTAAAGAATTGCACAAACTCGGTATCCATGTACCGCCGAAAATCGCTAAGTTTCGCCAAGGGGTACCCTAAAATATAATTTTACCGAGGCTAGATGACAGACCTTAACTAGGGAATCTTATCCATTTGTGTCCACCACTACAGAACATTCGTCTTATAAACTTGCTGGAGGTATTACCATCATAAGTAGATAGCTTCAAAGAGAAATGAAAAGGCATGAGTAAACGTTTAAAACCATCAGAACTGCTTCCTGCTGTCGCTATGCATTTCTTTACTATGCCAACTTCTTTGGTGACAGCAGCAGAAACTCAGTCTTTAATTTATTGTTCAATTTTTTTCTTGGACGACCGAAACTCTTTCTTCAGTTTCTCAAACTCTATTTTCAACTGTGCCTATTCAGTTTCCTATAGGTTCAAATTTGCTCTCTGTTATGGCTATAATATCTCTTTTCATTTCCTCTTGGCCCACTTTCATCTCTTCTTTGATGGATTTTTGACCAGCTTCCATCTTTTCTTTAATGGATTCAGCTCTTCTTTGAAAGCAGCAAAGGCTGGCACCAACAGCCTTAATTGTTTCTAAATCACTCTTGTCACTGGCATTCAATCTACTACTGCCACCAAAAAGTGTTGTTTGTGCACGACTTCGCAATGAATTGGATACATGAGTCTGATAACAGGTTAATAACATTTATTTTTATCAAAAGAAATATTTCAGAACTCTGGAATTTTCCATAGAAATATTTGTACAAGTGTTCACAGTATCGCACAGTATGATCAGTAATTACGTTTCAAACTACTAAGAATGATAAACCCAATGCCATGCAAAGCATCTAAAAAGAAAGCTAACTCAGATATTTTAGTTCACATGTAACTAAACAACTTGTAACAAAAATAACTAAGCAACTGAGAAGCAGATGCTCTCTCTTCAGCCTTAAACAGTTTTCAAACAGCTGCGAGGTTATTTCTTGTACTTTCTGCTTCTAGAAATTACAGGAAAGCAATAAGAGGGTAGAATTAGAGTTACAGTTAACATAGTGATCAATTACATTTATTCAGTTACAATACTTATTACAGTTATACAGGGACCAGACCCAAATGTTGCCAAATTTGGTGATAAAATAAATCACCAAAACCATTGTCAGCTTGGCGATATTTCGCCAAATTACTGAGATACCTATTAACTCCATGTTATATGCACTTTTACTTTTTCGGCATAAATTTCTCTTAAAATTTGTCTCGTGTTATATTATACAGAAAAATACAACAATTCTACCAAAATTACCTATCTAAGTACAAAATTCCTAATAATAGGTTATCGTAACTTATTTATAAATCATTCAAATGCTTGTAGCTGCAAGACATAAAATACTCCTATTGCTCATAAACTATAAAGACAGCCCATTATCTTTGTATAATGTGTTTGGCACACCACAGGTTATACACCAAGAAATCCACTCACCCATCCACCAACCAGCCTATTATCTAAATGTCGATCTTATACGATAATTTCTAGCCATTTAACCAGTGTCTGCATAGCATTTGGTTTTATTGCTGAAAGATAATTTTTCGGGAGTTTTTTTTATTATGAGCAATTACAACACTTGAATTTAAGGCAGTTAATACATTAATGTATTTCTGTATCTTTTTTGGTATACTGGTCAGGGTATTTTGATCTTGTATGAATCTACAAAGAATGATCTTCAAACTTTTTAAACTGTCCAGAATTTTTTTTTTTTTTTTTAGGGAAATTCACCTTTCCTTGAGAACTGTTTAATGTGTAACCATTCTTTCACTAACATTGATAAGACAGAGAAATTCATCAGTACTAATAGTATGTCCCATATTTCCACATGGTTTCACAAATTTTAGCTCTATGTGTTTTGCTCACCTTGCAGATACAGATTTTTTTTTTTTTTTTTCATATATTAGCACAGGTAACCACAATATGTACTCTTCTAAATCAGCATCAACTTGAAATTTTTTGCTGAACGTACCATGACGAGATGAAAGAAATGACAAATGCACATTCTATTTAATTATGAAAGAACAGCATAATGCAATGCATTCTACAATTGTGGATATGTCATCATATCAACAGGACTAAGCCATTTATATTGCATAGGATAAAAGGATTTTTATACCAACAACCTTTGAAAAGATAAAAGAATTCAAATTTAAAAGGATTATTGAAATATTTACTCATCTCAATGGCAAACAGAAGTAGCAGTTGCTTTTGGAATTTTGTGTACAGTTTAGGTGAGACCATGCAAGCTGATTAAAAGTCACTTAAGTTGCTAATTTAAAACAATACAAATGACACAAATAGGCATTATAGTGTTAATATGCATACACCCCAAATTTTTTGTTTCTCATAAAATCAAAAATAACATTCAGCTTTGTCTCTTAAAACACACTTTTTAAAAATATGCTTTAAAAAATAATATTTTTAAAGCTCAACCCGACTTTTGAATTTTAAATTTATTTTTAAGATTATTATCTTAGATAGGCTTTCCAAAATTAAGTAGTATATGAATTCTTTTGCGAAAAAAGTCAAATGAAGGCATAATTTAACACTATACATGTTTTAAAAAAATCTTTAAAATCTCAAGTTAAAACGAAATGTGTTCATTACAGCAAAACATTCAAGAGGTATCTGCCTATCTCACAATATATTACAATAAAACATACACAAGTTATCTGCCTATTAAGATATGTTTTCAGAAAAATTAGAATACTTTAATGTTACAAAGATGAAAATCATGAAATTCCTATGCAGCTAACCTGATCCAATGGTTAGAAACTCGGCCCTGAGGAACTATGAATACTCCAAAGTATAGAAATTCATTCTGCTTAACTGATACAAGGAGTGATTGATTACACATTTTTGCCTCCTACACTTCATTTTCCTAACTAAGTATTTCGTATTTTATAAATAGGTAGGAAAATAAATTAGTCCATTCAGTTAAATAAAATATTAAAAAGCATTGTAATGTACAGAACTAAATACTGTTAAGTAAAATACTGTTTTTATTGCTTTTAATACTTTTGCTTCCATTAAAAAAATTATTTTCTTCTTTTATACTAAAAGTCTGAAAAGTATTCCTGCAGCCACTTATGAAAAAGTTCTTCTGCAGATTTATACTCCAATAAATGCCATTCAAGGCACGCCAAACACTTTCATGTTGCAAGACATTCATATATATTCCTCCTTATACTGATAAAATAAACAAACTTCAAAAGTAAGAGGCAAATTTACAGTTTATAAAATTGATTAGATTAATCATACCAGTCAGATACTCAATAACAGCAGCCATATATACCGGTGCACCTGCACCGATTCTCTGATGATGAGTACCATTTCTTAAATACCGATGAAATCGTCCAACGGGAAATAAAACTCCAGCTTTAGCAGACCGAGATGTAGATTTGCTCCTTTTTTTACCACCGCGAGCAGACATTTTTAAGTCAGACAAAGTAGACAGAAGTCTTGTTTTGCACCCGCTAAGTCTTTCTGCTCGGATGAGCGAAAAACAAACACTGTCGACTGTCAATACGGTTTCGAATAGTGTAATGTAGAAGACATTTTCGTTTAAAATCCATCTCACATTTTTAATTTAAAAATTCATCCATTATAGTAATAAATTATGATCTAATTTTTCAACGATATAAATACCAACAATGTACTTCTATGATTTTACTATTACCTAATTTGAACATAAGTATTAAATACATTTTAGATAACACTATTTTAATAATTTAAATGAAGCAAAGAGTACGTGTTATTATTATTTAATGAAGCAAAGAGAAAATTTATTAGTATATATAATTTAATGAAGCAAAGAGCAAGTATTATTATATTCTAACAGTTGAGTTTTAAAAAAAATTTGCGGTGCACAGTTCACCTTTTACTTTTTATTATATTATGTAAAATTACAGGATAATAGTAAATTAATAAAATGAATAAAATAAATCAAAATTAAAGAATTTGATCAAAATAAAATAATTTTAAAGGTTTTTTTTTTTTTTTTTTTTTTTTTTGTCCCCCGGATCTGTGTGCTTATATTTGCACCATTAGATGATTTTACTGTACCAAACTTCTGTTATTATTGGGAGGAGTCTGCATCACCGAGGAAGCGGCAGCACGATGCTGAGCTCGTAAAAAGTGAAAAATTTCTTTCCTATGGTGATTATCAATTAAATTTCTTTGAAAATGTTTACATTTTCCCCACAAACCGTAATCATTGCCGATGAAGCTTCGGCGGCTTCCGGTGTGACGAGAAAAAAAGCGGACAATGTAAGGATATCCAAAAGCTGGAATTTAAGTAAGTATTTTCTTCATCTAAAACAAATCCCAGGCTTAAATAGTGCATGTAAATCAATAAATCTAATTTTCACATTAAAGCATTAAAAATCTGAAATGCGTGCTGGGCTCCTTGTGATCAACTCCAAACGACGCCACGTTATCAGTCACGTCTGTCACCTTACGGCCCCAAGCATAACGCGAAGGAACTCGAGAGAGAGGATTTGGGGCAGTCTAGGATCGCGGGATTTCCTTGCTGGCTAGATCGCTGAATTTCTTTCTAGATCGAATATTTTCGCCTTTTAAATATATTATACCTCACCGATTTTTTTCTATACGTTCTTGCTATCTGTTAATGTCCATATGTAAGGGATGGTTTTTCTTCACCGGGAAATGATTCTTAGAATATGACTTATATAAACGGGTGCCATAGTGGATCCTAACAATTAATAGTAATAAATTATGATAGGTAAAATTAAATAAAATAGTGTAATAAAACGGGTAATGTGTTTTTAATAATATACTCAGGAATAGACACACACAAACAAACACAATATATATATATATATATATATTATTTTTTTTTTTTTTGGTGTGTGCGATTGTGGTCTTGATTGTATATATTGTATATGGTTCTCTGTGTTAGTCTGATGCGTTTTTGAAAAGTATGAAAATGTTGAGAATGAAAGTAGCATAAGTTACTTGGTTAAATTATATATACTTGTTTGATGACCTTTGTTGATATTCAGGATGCAAGCGTACATATACTTTATATCCATGTAATACCTTGATAAGAAGCATTTTAACACCGTCAAAAGTGTTTTTTCCCAGTAACACATCTATCACCATTACCAAACACCTCACTACACAACACCAGGGAGACCTATTTATTGTAAATGAAGACAGTTTCTCCTTTTAACTACACTCATCGACACAATCGTATTTTAGGATATTTCCTACTTCTTTTCTTTTCATTCTATAGGCCTTTTTTTTTTTTTTTTTTTTTTTTTTGGCCATTTATTTTAATTTTATTTTGTCCCATCTTTCTTCTGGCCTTTTGAAACTCGTGCAAGATGTACGAAGTTCCTTTTTACTCTCCTCAAATGCGAAATTGCCCCTCTTTCTTATCCTTTCCTTCGCACCTATGCTTGATTTTTCGCCCATCGGTGCAGAAAGACTTAGCGGGTGCAAAACAAGACATCTGTCTACTTTGTCTGTCTGTCTCATTTTGTTATTGTAGATTAATTTTTAATATATAATGCCGTACTTATTAGGTTCGCATGCAATCCGAAGAACACGCAAATACCTAGAGCAAGGCAAACTAATATTTCGAAAAAATGTACAAATAATGACTGTACATTACAATGAGAAAGACATTTATCATCAAGGAGCTAAGTATGAGTAAAGATATTCTTTCGATAATACTTTTGAGTATGTCTAAAATAATAGGAACATTCTGTTTTCAGTGTTGTGTTTGGAAAGCAGTATCCCTAAAACAGTGCTTGTTTATTTGAATTTCGCCTAAATACAACAATTTTCATTTCTGCTACTGCAGTTATTAAACACGAGATAAATAAGGTTCTTAATATGGCTGATCCCATAATATGCGTATTAAATTTGCTTTAAATAAGAACATTCGTCCGCCCCCCTTTTTTTTTTTTGGAAATCAGTTTTTGTTCCATGTTTACAGGTTTTATGAAACTCGCAAGTGCCGGTTATCTAAATATGCCCTTTTTAAAACGTGCCATACTGGGCCGTAATCTACGGTTTTACCGAAATAGGAAAGCATTGTTTAAATAGGCAAAAAGAAACCTTAGATAGCTATAAATTTTGGGCAACACTTTTATCGATTTCGAGTGTGATGTAGCACAGCTCCCTCCCCTTTAGACGGAAAAAAAAAGGGAGGGGAGAGGGAATTACGTCAAATTTTTCACGAAATCCATAGATTATATTAAAAATTAGCACCAATCTAAGATAGCTTTTTTTGCTTAATTTTTTTTTTATTTCTGTTGCAGTTACATAATGCATTCTTATTCTGCTACATAAACACAAACATTAAATGAATGCGAGCCTCTTTGCATTATTTGAATTTGATTTGTTTCTTTATTATGATTAAAATGAATCTTACTTTTAAGATTCATAATAAGGACCGTTGATTAAAAATATTCGAAAACAGAATTAAAAAATAATGTGTAATTATTAAAAGTTTTTTTTTTCTTTTAAACAAGAGAAATTACATTTTCATTTTCCTGTTTTATGTACTGCTTGCAAGAAAAGCTGAAAATTTATAATGCCATTTAGTTTTTAATATAATATCAGATCTTGCAAGTAGTAATAACAAAAGCTAAAATGATAGTAATTTGTGCAACAGCCTATAAAATAAATTAATCTGTGCTACAGCCTTTAAAATAAATTAATATGTCATTGTTCTACATTATGCAAGTGAAAGCTGTATAACATTAATAGTTCTAAGTATTAGCAGTTATGCAAACTTCGTGATTTATGCAAGGGTAAACAGAGGACTTATTCCAGGTTTTCACTTTCAAGAGATTCTTAAAATCTTCATGCAGTATTTGAAGTACATTGGGTTTTATACATGTTTTTGATTCTAGGGGTACGGGAGGCAAGATCTTGTAGGCTGTGCAGTCTTAAAAAGAAAAAGGAACAATACAATGCAAGAAAAAGTTATTTAGCATTAAAATAATATGTAAATCGTGCTTCTGTACATTATGTTTGAATTAGTGTGATTTTATTTTCAATGCAGGATGTGTTTGCTCTATGGCAGAAGGTCATATGCCTTTCAATCTTGCAATACATGTTTTTATCACTAAAGTATCAAGCCAAAGGATTTTCATTATTATTATTTCATGCTATTATTAAATATGATTCATTATTGTTTGTTGAATTCTATTCCTTACAAACTTCCTTGCTGCACAGGTATTTTCATAGTTTTTTTGTGTATGTTTATGAATACAAGCCAGTTTCTGTAAAAAATGTCCTCTTTGAAAGCATCTTTCTTCATAGGTAGATAACTTTTATATGCTTTGCTATAATCATATAATCCAGTCTAATCCATGGTTATTTATTTTTAATAAACAAACCTATTTCTTTCTTGTATTTGTAACTTATTTCTTTTTTCTTAATTGTTCCATTTATAATTTTTTGTGTGAATAAAAACATAATTTTTTTTTTGAAAAGAAAGTTTTGAAATCATTGCATAATTTTCATAAAATCAGAAACAAGCAACATGCGAGGATCTTCCGGGAAAGGCAAGCCTTTTGATGCCATAATAAAAGCAGTTGCATTGATAACGAGCCATGGAAATCAAATAGTAGCAAAAATTCTTGATCATGTGCTGGATGATTGAAAAATTTTCATCTCGCCAAAGATCTGATCATTAAATCTTGCTAAAGAATTCTCCGGCTAATCTTTGGAATATGGTAACAGGTAGTTTGGCGACATTTTGGTAAGGCAATAAAGGTTACTAGCTAGGAGTTTAGCAATAATCTGAGAAGTACACAGTTCGAATCACAGATTATTTTGTCTCGGAGAAATGAGACATTTTCCGGAAAATTCCAGTCGGGAATTTAGCTAATAAGCACTTAGAAACAATTTCGCTGCTAAAGTGCAGAACGCCACTTATTTGTTTAGCGCTTTTTCAAGAGTAAGAAGACTGGATTTTTGTCAATTTCTTTGACTTTAAAGTGAAATAGGTCAATTGTACATGGATAAAGTCAAGAGTGTGCTCAGTGCCATTTTTTATGCAATCTGGGATATTTTTTTAAAGGAAAAAGGTTGGTGCACATGATACCGTGTATTGCATTCTAAAACAACGGAACACAGTGGGGATTCTTACCTTTTCCCAATTCCGCACCTAATTCATCATGATTGAGCACTTTTATCCATAAAAGTTCTAGCATAAGCTTAATTAGCTAGCAAAAAAAAAACAAACAAAAATGGCCTCGTCGTTCGTGAAAACAAAATGCTCTCCAAAAAAAAAAAAAAAAAGCAGGTTGCGTAGCAGGTGTTGGTCGCCAAAAAATCGCCAAGTTACCATAATCCAAAGATTTACCAATTATCCTTTCCCCCCAATAAAAATATTACTTGTTAAATAATTAAGTTTAGCAAAAATCACTCAGGATGAAGCTTCCTCTCTTAATAATACTCTGAAATGGTTGTAATTATGAAGATAAAATTGTGATATATATTTAACCATAGCTGAATATTTTCTTTCATGTATTACATTTAATTGCATAATAGTGCATATTAGACATTAATTTTTTTGTATTTGTATGTAATATTACATTATTAATGGCATAATATTGCATTTTAATTTAATTTTTAATTATGCTATATCTGTACATAAACAATATAAATGATTTGTAATAAAGATTCAAGTATGAAATATTAAAGTGGCCATAGTTGCGTTTTTTTTTTCTTTCTTTTTTTTTTTTTCAAATATATGTTTTTTTAAATTTATGCATGAAAGCATTTATTTGAAGCTTTAATATACTGTGTTCCTTTGAATTGAGTTTATCAATAAAGTATAAATTATAAACAATATCTATACAGATATTTTGTATATTGGAATTTGTGTCAAGTGCAATATAAAAATCCAAATGTCCAAGTTGTTTTCTATAGAAACATGTTTCCAACATCATTTGTCAGGTGTTGGTTAGGTAAGAGATTATTTTCTTAGGATAAGGTGAATAGTTTTTAAAATTTTGAACCCTAAATATTTTATTCAATTAATGATACTTGCTCTCAGTTTATTTTATTTGTTATTTATTAATATTCAGTATTTTTTTAAGTGCATGTAACTAGCAAATGTTACTGTGGTAACATTTGCTAGTTACATGCACTTAATTCCTTTGTAAAACAGCCATTGCATAAGCTTTTGGGAACATTGGAAATTGGCCATTACAGATTAGGCAATTAAGTCTGCCAGTTTTGGTGACTGAGTGTAGTGTCTGTTTTAACAAGGATTTAACATATTAGTGCAACCATCTAGTAGAAGTCATCAAATTATCAGTATGTGCCAAATTCTGGAACCAGGTACATAATAGTTGTTCACTTTTAATAAACAATGTCACTGTTTTCTGTGTGCATGTTTTTTTCTATATTCCTAATTTCAGTCGTTTCTGTACTAAGTTGTGATACTTTTTTTGTTAAATTCAGTTATAAAAGATATGTTCATAGACTTTGCCTGCAGCGGAAGAAAGTTTTATAAAGTTGCTGCTGCAGTTTGGTAGTTTCCTGCAAGATTGTTAAATGGAACAGTTGTTTTGAATTCTTAGAAAAGTCTCTGTGAAATTTCCAAGAGAAAAAAAGTATTGATTGATTTTTCTGGATAAATACTAAATTAAAATATAATATACATATTTACTAAATAATTGTTTGCAATTGTGAATCATTATTCTTTTTCTTCCATACAAAACTGCCCAAACTATGGCAAGATGGTTGTGCTAATACATAAGTCCTCTCTTCTTCCCTGCCCTCCCCGAAGGAAAAAATTGGGTACTTTTCCATTTTGCTGTCTCAGGCGATAAAGTTAACAAAAATAACATCCGATACCAAACGATATATCTTGGCTGGTAAACTTTCACTGCCACATTTTCAAAACAAGTCACGGCCATTTTTTATCAGTCACATCTTTTCTCTAATGCATCAAAAATGGATGAAAGACCAATGAAAATTTGGGATTTGCCCAGAATGGAGGAAGAATCTGTCAAATTCTTTCAAGCAAAAGACATTTTGCTTAAAAATTGCTACTTGTGATATTAATCATGAAATGAAATTATATTTTGGAGACAAAATTTATTGGTACTGCAACCTTTCAATTTGTCACAGTAAAAGAAGTATTGTTTATGGTTGAAGAAAAGAATTAACTTCAGTTTAATTTTGTGAAAATCATTCAGTTGTAAATCAGTCACAAGACTATTATGGACTGGAATAACTACATACACAAGGTACTAGCATAACCTACTTTTTTGGTACTTGCATGTTGGCTGGAAGTAAGTGTAAATACCCAATTATGAGCTTCTTGATACTGATGGCAAATCAGAAGTTGCTAATTTAGAATCCTATTGAAACAGAAGCGGACTTATTTAACCATAAAACATTTATTATAAATTTTGAAAATAATTTGTTAATTAAAACTTTTCATATAAAAATTTGAAACTTGCTTTGTTGTATAAAAGGTGTTATAAAAATTGTAGAAGACAGGTTAATCATGCCTTTAATCATATGCAGTGATTTATCCTCATCTTTACACCTAAGCATCTAGAATCATTTTGCAGAAAGCTAATTCATATGTACTAAGCACAAAGTCCGTAATCTGGACGTCCATGATCCGGAATGATCTATAATCCGGACCACAATTTTTTTTTTTTTTTTGTATGCTTTATGCATGCACATTTAATGTTTAACAGATGGTATAATTTAGGCTAAAATTATCTTTACTGATTCTAAGATATTTCAGTTAATGTTGCAGATTGCACTGTTCCTTAATCTTCTAATTGGATCCGTCTTATTATTTTTTGCAGACTGTTAGACAATTTTATAAAAAACTAAGCTTGAACTTATTATGTCGAAAAGAGTTTCCTGGAGTACAAGGATCTAAAGCAAAGCATGTTTTGAGTCCATCAAAAAAAGTGGAATTGCTGCAAAAAAAATGCATAAGGCATCGTCGAAATTATGTGAAAGTAATGACATTGGAAGTCATGTATATGACATAGAAAAAGAAAAGGACTTTTTGTGGTTTCCAACTCCCATTTGCAAGTTAATAACAGAAAAAAGTTTCGTTATTGACATGACAAAAGATGATGAATGGCTCGACAGCATCACAGCAAGATGGGCTATTGATGGGTCCAACTAAAGGCTCAAGCCAAAATTTTCATAGAAAATAACTTACGATACAAGGTTGTTTAACGACATGTTAAAAATGCCATGGTATAAGACAATTAAGATTTCAGTACGAAAACGTTTCAGCTGATCGAAGCGCTGAATCAATTTGTCGATGAAGTCATTGAACACGATTACGTGAACGATTTCGTCCTGAACACATTTACACGCTGATGTGAATGGTCTTCTGCATGATGTACTGCAAAATCCTTGGCACCCTCTACAGAAAGGCTGCAACTGGTGTCAAGAATCCACAGGATACAACAATTTAGATACACATGCTGCGGGAACCAAGTGCAAAAAACAAGCATGGTGAATGATTGGTTTTTTTAAAGCTCATTTTATACTCTAATAATTAAATTGGCGGACCTGATGAGCAAAAAAATAGTCATGATTGTTCACAATGTGGCGCATCCTTCACTTAAAGTTCTAGGAACATAATGTATCGTTTATTTTTCCTCTAAATTGTAAACCATCATTTAGCCTATGGATATTGAATAGGTGTACATGAATTGCAAAGAAAAGTAGAATTTTAAAATCACATATTAATTCTTTGAACAGTGGTAAGACGATTCCGACTTTAAAATTTTTTACCAAAATCTGCTGTTGAGCATCGCAGATCATGGAAGATTGTGTCTCAGATAGTTAACAAATGCTTGTCATTATTTAGGCAGCTACCATATTTCATGGTGAGGACAATGAGATGATAGCCGCGAATTTGAAGGTTTTCGGACATCACAAACTAAAGGTGAAAATTTTCTATTATTGGACTTGTAAAGAATGGCTCAGATCAGAATGACGCTTTGTGTGAAAAAGTGACAGAGGTTATTGAAAACAAAAAAATTTCGATTGAAAAGTTAGTCGGTATTCGACACACATTACAGGACTTGACAGTGGAACTTTGTAAGAACAAAAATTATGTCAGTTAAAGAAGTATTGCACAAAAAACAAACAACTTAAACAACTTACATTGAAAGAAATGTTTAACACAGTAAACAATAAAATTAAGCTTTTTTTGTCAATTTTGATACCTTCAGATCATAATTGCTCTTTATTTCATACATTATGTTTCATATTTTTATTTATAATTTCTGCATGCCATCTTACCAGATTTAAACTGATGATCTATAATCCGGAATCGCCGAAGTTCCGACGAGTCTGGATTAAAGACTTTTGACTGTATTAAAAAAAGGTATTGTCTTAATCTTTAATTAGTGGAAAATTCATGAAATGAACAATAGTTTTGTACTTGCAGAAATTTATTAAAAATAATCCATTGCGCAGTTTGTTTGAAAGTGTCTGCATTGCAAGCACTTTTTCCTATGTGGATATTAAAGTCTCTTATGATCTTAAATTCTACATTATCACCAACTGTTATCATGAATTTTTTTAATTGAGAAGTGTATTTTAAGGTATCTGTATAGTTTTTTATGTCATACTTATCTTCTGGCTCTTCTTCATCTTCCTCACTGCTCTCCAAACTAGTTTTGTTAAAGCTAACATCATCAGCTACAGTTGAAATAAAAGATTTTATGTTGTCATTGGTGTCTTTAATACATAAATTTTCATTGATTTCTGTATATTCTTGCATTTGAGCACTGCCACTGATTTTGATAAATTAAATAATTAAATTTCCTAATTAGTATTTTCACTGAGGTTATTCGAAACTGGAATTTCAAAGCCTGCTTTCTTAAAACAACGTTTAATACAACTTTGTAATGCATATTTAAGAGCCTCTGTTATCTACTGAGTGGCATTCAGTAAATTGACAAATTTTGCAAACTGTTCCGTATTTCCGCAAGCAGCTTGACAAAGAACATGCCGTAAAAACAGTTTTCTGTAATCAATCTTGAAGCTTCTAATTATACCTTGGCCCAAAAGTTGTAATACTGATATCGCATTACTGGAAAAATTCTAATTTCACTGATTTCTGGTTTACATTTGTTGGGCGGGCTGGCAGATTGTCAAGAAATAGGAAGCATAGGAACTTTAGCCTTTAGCCAAGAAATAGGAAGCTAGTTGAACACTACTTAGCATCAAAGCCCACTCTGGATGCCCATCCTCTCTAAAGACCATTTAAATAAGTTATTAATGAAAATCCAAGTTTTACAGTTCAGGAACAATCAAAAAGCATAAATATTCCAAAAATACATGATCATTTAAAAAAAAATTGGGTATGTAATCTGCTTAAATGTATGGGTACCTTATCCAGAGACCCATTAAAAGGAGCTATTGGTAAAAATCCAAGCTTTAAGGAACTATAAGAATGAATAAACATTCCAAAAATACATCATCGCTTAAAGAAGGTTGGGTATGTAAGCTGCTTCGATTTATGGGTAACTCATATTTTAACGGAGCAGAACATGCTTGCTCGAGTTTTGACTTTCTTTGCTGGGGGGGGGGAGAACTCCTTTTTTAAAAGAACTTATTACTCGAGATAAGAATTAGATACTGTATAATAATGTTTCAAGAAGAAGAACATGGGATAAGCCAAAAGATCCTCTCTTAGTAACATTGAGAGGGACAGTAAGATTCCCAAAAAATAACGCTTTGTGTATAGTGTGACTACAAATGAATCATATTCTATGAAATATTGTCACCAAGTCAGACAGTTAATTTAAGAAAATGCTGTTCCCAAATGGAAGTTTTAAAAGCTGAAATCAAAACCTAGTGCCAAGAACCAACCAATCTTCATGGTATTATCTTCCAACATGACAGAGCTTGACAACACATTTCGATGAATATCAGACAAAAACTTAATGAGTATGGTTGAGTTGCTTTTTATCACCTCCCATATTCTCTATACCTTGCCCTTTCAGATTTTCATCTCCTTAAGTCACTTCAGGATTCTCTGAATGGCCTGGAATTCACCTCTTTGAGGATGGTTAAACTGCATGTCTCTAGCTTCTTTTCAAATACACATAATGACTTTTCTAAAGGAGTAATTTTCCACCTGTCTTATACATGACAAAATGTCATTGAATAAAATGGTGGTTACATAATTCATTTAACTTTTCTTATGTTTTTATCATTTGTGTTTATCATAAACAATCTGCAGAACTTTTCAGGTGACCCAATACTATATATTGTTTTTATTTTCTAGTTGTTTAATAGAAGGTCAGACTGCAGCTTACTTTTATAACTCTACCAAGTATCAAGGTTTTACATTTTTATGCTAAAAGTCTCTAGAAATGTGTATTTTAGTGATATGGACTTGAATGATTGTGTATCCTGTAATATAGAAGGACTGTCATCTGTCACAAGATAATCAGGTTTTAGGGGGTTTTATGTCTACCTGTGTTTAAGTAGATAAGACAACTGAAGATAGGTAGTTAGTTCATCCTTAACAGTATTTGCTGTATTGAATTATTATGTTTTCCCTCATTTCTGATGTGAATGAAATCCAGTTTCCTTTAAAAAAGTACATCATAAAGTGTGGAACAATTCTTATTACTTGTTTTCATAAATAAATAGCATTAAAACTAACTTTTAAACTTTTTCAAATAGAAGTGGGAGGTTAGTGACTGTTTTGTGCTTTAAATGAATTTCTTGTTGATTCATATAAATTCTGAATTTGAAAAAAAAAAGAAAAAAAATCTGTAATAAATAGATTTATATATGTAATTACTTTTTGGGGGCATTTCAACACTGGTAAAAATATATTTACGGGTATCCCTTGGCAAAAATTGGTGATTTTTGGTAGTACATTGATACCGAGTTTATGCAATTCTTTGTTTTGTTATTTTGCCTTGTGGTATGGCAATTTTTATGAAAAAAATCGCTGCTACACAAAACCAAAATAAAAAGGCAAAGAATTGCACAAACTCGGTATCCATGTACACATCGACCTATTTTCACTTAAAAGAACATCAGAGAATTGCACAAACTTGGCATTGCGAACTCCCCTGACCTTTATCCATGTACACATTGACCTATTCTCACATTAAAAAAAAAAAAAAAAAAAAAATCATCAGAGTATTGCACAAACTAGGCATTGTGCACTCCCTTTGTCCATGTACACATTGAACTATATTCGCTTAAAAAGTCCAAGGAGCAGCCAACAAAAAAGTATATAATCTCAATAAACTACATTTTAAATCAAACAATGAAATAAAATAAAAAAGGAAATTCATCTTTGCACTACACAAAGGAAATATCCACTAACCTTATTTACGAATTAACATGTCTTCAGTCAAACAAAATTCCTCAACAGCATCCAAAAACTTTATCTGAACAAGAATCTGTATACTGGCATCGCCACATAAATTCACAAAGTAAGGGTAAAAATATCCTCTCTAGCTATGTTCGACGGTACGCATTTCCGGCATTCAACTATATGCATTTCCTCTCTACAAACAGGACATCTAATAATGGCTACTAAGTAAACCTTCATGTATACACCAATCAAGTAATGCTCTTTTCCCCCTTTCTTTTCAAATCGTACAGAAACTTCAAATTAATCTTACCACATTCAGCCATTTTACCATCTAAACTACAAAACAAGCAATATATTTTCTAACCAACACACATCCACATTACGAATTTACCACAATCATGCAACCGATTATATCATAATAGGGTTTCCATAACATTCAACTACTCAGACTACCATAAATGAAACAACTTGGTGATAAAGGAAACAGCTTCGCAATAACACAAGGGGTACCCTTCTCTCTACTCGATCCTCAATATTATATCATATAAAATGTTTTTTCAATATTATATTATGTAAAATGTTTTCATTTTTATAAGTATCACTATATAATGTTAAATACTGTAATTATTCTTTTCTACTTCTACACTGTATTTTATCTATTGTATTGTTTTAGATACTGGTGAAGATGTGCTTATGGATGTATTTGGCAAAAGTAATTTGGAAATTCTCAACCATCTAATAAAAATTTTAGGCCAACCAGTGTAAGTTAAAATGCATTTTAAATGTAAAATCTTTCAGTAATTTATTTTTTTTTTTTTACTTTAAAATTTACTTTGGTAAATGCATAAAAGCATAAAATTGTGAACTTATGAAAAATTTGCTGCATATCTTTATTGCCATCAATCTTTTATTTCTTTCACAGTGGATTTACATATACAAGTTTTCATTGGTAAACTGCTTTTTCACAAAGTTTTTAATTGGGAGAAGGGAAGGAAATATTTGTGAAAGCAAACTTTTGTTACATTTTTATGTTATTATGTTTGTAATAATTAATTATGAATAACTTTTTTTTTTTACAAAGTAAAAGTTTGAATAACACAATTAAATTATATCATAGTTGCTGTTTACAAAAAAGTATTATAACATTGGCACTAAAATTTTTTTAAATTGGTACTTTGGGATTATCCCGTTGACCATTTTCACCAAACCCGATATTATCGCCAAAAGGTAGCTTCTGCACCAATAATCACAAATAATTATGTAATCCTTGACTATGCAAGTTAGTTCTCTTTAGCGTGTTAAAATATGCTGCTTTTTTTTACTCCACTACAAAATGGTTCAAATTAGGGATTTACCTAGCACTGAAGAGAATGCAATGACATATTTTTAAGAGTATAGAATTGTTTCTTCTACAAAAATGTGCTTTAATGGCCAGAATATGGCATTGTATATCAAAACTGATAAGCAATGGTGGTGCAGTGTAAAAAGGTGCGATAAACCAGTAGCTATTTGAAAAGGCACATGTTTGGAAAGCTCAAAATTCCCATTTCTGACTGCCCTCTGTTTTTTTTACTGCTGGTCGCAAGAAATAACATCAATTGAATGAGAAGAAAAATAACTGGATTTAACAGGAAAAACAGTTGTTATTGGAACAATTATATGAGAGAAATGTGCACTCGTAGCCTTCTACAACCTGATTGAAAACAAGTAGGAGGTCCAAACTAAATTGTAGAGATAGATTGTAGAAACTCTTCAGAGAGACCAACAAGTATTTCATCATAAAGGTTCCCAAATGAAATGCAGTAACTCTAATGGCTGAAATTAAGAACAACATTGCAGAAGGAACTACAGTTTTCTCAGACTCGGGGAAAAGTTACAAAAACTGATGACTTGGAAGCAGCAGGATTTCGACACTTTAAAGTGAATCACAGATATAATTTTGTAGATCCTGAAACTGGTACACCTACACAAAATTTAGAACAATTGTGGGGTTTGGCAAAATCAAGAAACAAGAAACACCACGGAACTACCCAAAAACAATTGGATTCATATTTAAACGAATTTATGTGCCGGAGAGTCCACAAGGATAATGACTTGTCTGTGCTTTAAGAGCAATCAAGGATTTTTGGCCGCTGAAATGATTTATAATAATATATATGGTATTCAAGAATAATTCATTGTGTAATTATAAAAAAAGTACAGGTTTTTTATTTTGTTTTGATTCTTTTTTATTACACTTCTTTATTACGTATTAGTACACTTATATTTTTTTGTTATTAGGATTTTATTATTATTATTTGAGAAATTTAATGTGTTTAAAATGTTTATTTTGGAAACTGCTTTTCATTATAATGGCACCAAAGGATTTTTGCTTTTTCGCGAGCGTTTACAGGTCGGCGGGATAATCCCGAAGTGCCTTGAAAGGGTTAGAAGATTATTTTGCCCCATACAAGATATATATATATAATATATATATATATATTGGTAATGCATGAATTAAAACTTCAAGAATTTGCTGAAGTGAATATTTGTTCCTTAAAAATGTATTAATTTAGAAATTTTTTTAATGTGAGACTAAAAAAACTAAATATACTAGACAGATTTAAGTTAAGATTTCAATTGATTTCAAGAGCAAATAGATACAGGTCCCTCTTCATCAGGAGCAAAGAAATCTGGAAAACTGGAAAGCAGTACATCAGTAGATCGGGGTTCGTAAGAGAAGCCTTTGTCCTGTCAGTGCTTTACTTCCATATAATCTCATCTTCCACTAAAGCTGCCAATTGATTGCATGAAAGTCTGAATTTAAACTTTTACTTACATAATTCTATTGTTCGTAATCTCAGTAATTTGTTCTTGAATGAGTTTAGGTAGTTTACAATGTACAATAATGTTCTACAATTTTCAACATTGCTAAAAGAAAGCAATTAGTGTGGGATTAAAATAATAATTATCAGTACAGTAGAACCTCAAGATTTGTTCCACCATTTCCAGCACTCGGGTTTAATTTGTTCCAGCATCGAGCTCATATAGTGAATTTCGTGTATCTAGAAACAAACTTCCCCATTGAAAATAATTGAAATCCAGTTAATTCGTTCCACCCCTCCGAAAAATACCATCATAAAAATCAATTTTCCTAATACATAACACTGGCAAATAATAAGTTAACCATAGTATACCTTTACAAAGAGTCCTGACTGGGGATAGGGATGTGTGGAAGACGAAGCGGGTTACTGAGGGGAAGGAGAGTCCCCCTCTGATTCAGGAAGGCACTCTCTTGAAAATTTTATCCCACTGGAAACAGGTTCTGGGTTAGAATCGCTTAACTTTTAGTTGCAGGTTGCTTTGCCAAAAACTTATCTAATAATACTTGTTTCTGTTTTCTTTTCAGAACAATTATAAATATGTTATCTTTTGGCAAATATTCATAATTTAATTGTTATGTTTTTGAGATTTCTTTCAAACATAATTTTTTTTAAAATTCAATCAAAGAAATTTATCGAAGTTGAAGCAATGAAAGTTAAATTGAATCTTTATGTTTCTACGTATGTTGCTAATCAATGTAAAGTACTGTAGTGTCAATTGCTCGATCTTCATTGAGTTTCATCTAGTGTTTAAATTATTGACCCCTTCTAAAAAAAAAAGTGCTGTACAAGGAAAATCTCAGAAACATAGCAAATGCGTAACAAATATTTGCTTCTCCTTGAAAGATGATACATACACTGGTGGGAAAATTTAAACAAACAACTATAAAAAGGTATTGTATGTTAATTCTGTTAAGTAAAGTCCAATGAAAGGTAACTGGTTGATGGATATCGTATGAGTGGCTTGATAAAATTTTGCTTGTGGGAAATGAAACATGTCATTGAGAAGGCATATGACAGATTGTGAGAAATGGTGGGCACTTGGGAGAATAGAAGTAGAGCAGACACTGACATAAGTCACTAAAGACCTAAAAATAACTGAAAGCATTAGTCAAGAATCTGAAAATGTTTTAAAGACACTGATAATGTATGATGACAACCAAGTTGAGATTGAAAACATGCCACAACAAACTCCAAGAGCATTATTTGGCAATAATTACACAAAAAAGAAGTAGCGACATTAGCCGAGTTTGCAACAGAATTCACTGCAGGTACAGGAACTTGATTATCCAATTATATTTTGAGTGACAGGCTGCATGAAAGAGGCCTGTATGCGAAAAACCAGTGATTTGTTTCCCAGTATCTTAAGCTGCGAAATACGCCCAGTTGCAATGCTGTAGAAATTACAATGATTGGAGTCCCCCAAACTGGAGATAAGTTTTCTAAACTGATGAATCCAGTTTTTGTTTGAAGAGTAATCCCAGGTGTGTTACATTCTGGAAGGGGCAAAGTATATGCAATAAGCATGAAAATGTCCATGAAAAGCATTGGTTTAAGAGTCATGAAGCGGCCATCATTGTGAATGGCCATGTTGATCTGTACGCTTACACATGTGCAACCATGAATGCTGAAGTATGCAGAAATGAGGTTTTTCGTAAGTTGTTTAAGGGTGCAATCAGTAATAACTTCCTGAAAATGCTCGATAATGTTCATTGTGCTGCAGTAGTGGCTGATCATTGTGCGGTTGAAAGAATCCGGCAGATGGAGTGGCCCACATATTTTCTGAATTGAAATCCAACAGAACATGCAGGACACAGGACCAGATTTAGATAAGACCAGATCATAAGCTATTTGAGGTATGGGACCATTTATGAGGGATATGAGCCAATTTTTTTTTTATATGGAATATGGTACAATTTTTGAGGGTGTCTCCAAGAATGTGGAGGATATAAGCTATAGCTTGTGCAGCTTATATGTAAATCCGACACTGCTTGGCTTGCATCACTGCAGCCCCATGTAGCATTCTTCAAGACCTTCAAAGCACTGTTCATTTGGAATGCAATAAGTTACTGCTGGAACTCTTAAAATAATGTAATACATAGTATGGAAAATAAGCTCATTTCAGTCCATGGTTACCTCACATTTTATTATTTTTTTCTGTTTTATCTCAAAAGTTGTAAGCCCTTATCCACATTTTATATCATATTTCTAATGTCCTTATTTAAATTATTCTTTTTTCAGAAATAAGCAATTTTATATTTTGAACTTATGTCATGCATGACAAAATAAAGTTTCGTGCAAGTTCCGTACTCTTATTAGCAAAATTTTTCACATTACAGTTGTTCTATTAACTTACCATTTATTTTAGTGTGTGTACAATTATTTTCCATCATTGCTTTTTGTTTTTCAGTCTCATTTATTTTCTGTAGTACTGTGTGTTTTAGTTTTGACATGACAATTTGTAATTCTGTGGTTACGTAGTGTTTTTAGTGTACTGAGATAGAAATAAATGCATGCAGTTTTTTTTAAACATATTTGACAACTGGTCGGTGGACCAGCCTTTATTGATATGGTTCTTCAAGAAAAAGCAATTGCTGCGCTACTTGATCCCTGTTGGTTTTAAAACATTTGTCAATGAGAATAAAAAAGAGTATTTGATTCGGATATGTCTGCAAGATTTTTTTTTGCATTAGCTTTGCCAATGACTTCAAACTACTTCATACATATATATATAAAAAAAGTAGGTTTAAAAGTCTTTTTAGAACACCTCCTAATCAAAACCATGTATAAAAGGTTCTCAAAGTAGCAAAGGCTTATATTATGTGTTTAAAAATATTTTTTAAACCTATTTCATTTATATATATATATATGTGTGTGCATTATTTTGCTGCATTTGCATTCAGTTAATGAGCTTTGCAATTTTAGTAACTTTCAACTTTATTCCATTACCTAGATAGATATAGACATGTAAGAACTTTCATCTTCGCCCATGTTTGATTTTAGTTTTTGACTTTAAAACATTATCAATTTAATAGCATATACAGCTCAAAGTCCGTAATCCGGACATCCATTATTCGGAATGATCTATAATCCGGGCCTCAAAGCCATAAACTTACGCATGCGCTTTTAATGCACGTAAAGCGTTTACCCATGGGAACTTCCGATAGTGAAGAAAGTGATAGAGAGGTTTCTGAAAACGAAAAAAATTTCAATTAACAAGTTAGTCGATATTCTCGACACAGCAATTGCAGGGCTTGAACAGTGGTACTTTGTAACTGAACAAGAAATTATGTCTGTTTATAGAATTAAAGAGAAAGTATTATCACATAAAATGAAGCAACTTAAACATCTTACCTTGAAAGAAATGTTTAATATAGTAAATAAATAAATATTAAGCTTTTTTTTTTTTTTTTTTGTAAATTTTGATACCCTTTAGATCATAATTGCTCTTTATTTCATAAATTACGTTTCATATTTTTAATTGTTAATTTCTGCGTGCCATCATACCAGATTTAAATTGATGATCTATAATCCGGAATCGCCGAAGTCCCGACGAGTCCAAATTACGGACTTTGTACTGTATTAAATTTAGTTATTTTTGCTTTTTACAGCTCTAGCAAAGCAGAAGAGAGGAAAGACACTATAGAAAAGGATACAGAGATTGCAAAATTTGGAAGTGGTTATAAGAGGCATTGCATATGTGAAATACCTGGGCAAGTTCCATGTCCAGCTGTTATACCTTTACCAAAGCATATGACTGGCAAGTACAAATCTGAACATAATTTATGGCCATTAAAGGGAACGACTTCTGCATAGATAATCATTTCCTTTGAACTTTCTCTATCATTGTGTCATTTGAAGATCAAAATGTACTGCATTGTGACTGAACTGTTAGATTATAAATATAATTCTCATAAATTCTTGTTTACTTTTGTGTTTAAATATATCCATATACACTCATAATAAATAAGCTATTGTTGATAATATTTATATAGGAAAACTAGTTTTTCTTATCCATATCTAAATTTGACTGACAGTCTGCATAGAATTGATGATTGTCTTCTCCAAAACATCCAATTTTTGGCAACAAAATATTTCAAAATACATTGTTACTAAAGTTTGCTGTAGAGAATTTAAAATATACTTTGTTTAGATATCAAAATATTTCTTTCAATCAAAATGTCTTTCAGAGCCTTTTGAAAGGAAATAAACATTGAAAGAGACAGATATTTTAACATAATTTAGAAGAAGAAACTGTGTGTAAAACTAAGTAAATTTTATTATCTTTCTTATTAATTTGAAAACAAACAAAAGAACTTCTGTATGCAAGCTATCATTTAAAACAAAATTTGAAAGAATTCAGATTTCAGCATTGCACTAGAACAGAGGTTGTCAACCTTTTGACTAACGCTTACCATTTAAAAAAAAAATTAAAAACTTTTAATACCACCACTACAAAGTACTACTACCACCACCTCACTTTTGCTAACAAAATTTTTTCCCCCTTTATTACTAAACATTGGTTTGTTTGAACTTACATCACATAAAATTCAAAAGTAAAATCATAAAACATTTAAAAACATAATTTTAAAATTCGTGATATTTTTAAATTCGCAACATTGTTTCTTTAAAAATAATACATGGTGATAACATTTGGTAACAATATTTCTTTTATTTCAAAATTGATGTTTGAGGCTAATAGCACCTTTGGTGCCCCCCCCCCCAAAAAAAAAAAAAGGAAAAGAAAGGAAAGTCTGTCAAACTTCAACACTCTGATTTAGAAAATAACAAAATTCTGCTCGATATTTAAGAAGTTACTTTTAATTTTTCTTGCGTGAAGGATTTGTATATTTTAAAGTAGAGAGTTAATTCATGTAAGAAATTTGTCACCAAAAATGTCAGTATAATAACACATATATTATCATCAAAGAACTTTTCTCAAATTTTTTTGTTTTTTTATTTAATTAATCCAAAGGTTCTCTGTCCCTGAAGGACTATTGCTTTCATTTTGCAATTTTGCGTCGAACCTTATAAATGGCGTTTCACTTCTCAAATCGTTGCCACCAAATACTATCGCCCTGTATTATCTGCATAAATGTATGTATGTTTCTTGCCTTGTGATATAACAATGGTACCTAGAGCCATCCAATTTTGAATGATGTAATCCTACTGCAGATATGGGAATCTGAAAGCTGAAATTTGGAATTTGTTTTATTATCAGTTTCATCTTTTGTAAAACTTTAACGAATTTTTGATTAACGAACTCAATGATTTAAAAGCGAGCAATGGCAACACTCTATGGGGGGGGGGAACCTTTTTATTTCCAGTGCACAGAACTGTGTATCAGAAATTCTAAAGATATGCTCATTTTAAAATTATTTTGCGACATTGCTGTTGAACTGAATTTTATGGTTTAAGTGCAAAAAGCATGATAATAAATGAATAAAGGTAACACACAAAATGTTTAAAAAATGCCCCTTTGGACGTAATTTAAAATCTGAACGAACACTTTCAGATTTTTTATTATTATTATTTTTTTTATTATTATTCATTTTTGGTGGTCATAGAAAGTGTTTTCCCTTGAGCAGGCATGGATCTTCCCATTATTCTTAAATATGAGCTAATTTCCCATTATCCTGGTATTTTTCATTACATTAAATAACTCCAAATGCAATCTTATAGTCATGTTGTTGTTTCTATCACAGAACCCATGTTTTCTTAACTAAGAGAAAAATTTTTTAATTATGAGTATTGAACAGTGTGATTCATAAATTAGTTTTTATGAATGAATGTGTCAATATTAAACATGTACTTGTCAGGAAGGATCAAGGATGAAACTATTGGGAATTCAGAAAATTTTCTGAAATGCCCAGACATAGTAATAATAATAGATCAAGCAGTATGTAGTAAAACCTGTTTCTAACTAGAAAGTGGCAAAAAATGCAAAGGCAATTATCATAATTGTTATTTTTGTATTCAGAATATATACTGTTGTTTCAAATCTGAACATCAGTGGCACCATAAAAGTTTTTTAAACCTCATTTCCATGTTATATCATTACAGTTACTGAAACATGGCAAAGATATTCAATATTAATAATTTAACTGATTCTGAATCAATGATCTTATAACACCAGCTAAGAATGATTTTATAACACCAGAAATAATGATCTTATAACACCAGAAAAAAGTGATATTGAAGAGGTTCATGTGTATAAGAAGTTAAATGAATTTTTCAAAAGGGTACAAGAACTGTCTGATTTTGTAATGCAGATTGACCCAAATGAAGAAAAGACAGGATACTTTATGGAGACATTGAAAAACTTTGCACTCCTTACCAGTGGCGACTCGAGGCTAAAATTAGTAGGAGTGCTGTTCCAAAAAAAATTTAGCCTTTGTTTTAAAATTATGTAAAAGGAAACAAACATGCATAAAAAGAAAATTTATTTCGAAACTTCATGAAATCTTACAAGAAAAAATTAAACATTTCTTAATTACTTTAACCAAAATTATTACAGTTCAATCTTAGTCTAGTCATTTGAAAATGAAATCCATTCCTCTTGTTTTAATTTGCACGAAAAGATCAATAATTTTCTCCTTGATCTGTAGATGACAACTGAGGAAATTTTTCCTTATTGAAAGCAATGAAGCGCATTTAGTCTTTCCGAATTCCTAGTGCTTCTTAGAAAAGTTTTCATTCTTTTCAATGTTGAAAAGCAGCGTTCTGCCTCTGATGTAGTCATGGGAACTCTCAAGAGAATTTTTATCAGTTTCGTAATTTCACTAAGAACATCATCTAGATTATTTTCGAAGATAAATTGTAGTAGCTCACTTAATTTGCAGTATTCATGGATATCAGACCTACAATAGAATACTTTTAGTTCAGTTTCAAGCTTTTCTTTGCCAATCATCGGATATGCTTCAGTGGTCAGTACTATTTCTTCTGTAGAATGTTCATTCCTAAAACTAAGCATTTCTTGTTAAACAATTTAGCAGCTGCTAAGTGTTTAGTGGAAGAATATCTGTGCATTATATCAATACATAATATAAAAACACATATTTCCTTAGCTTCTACCATCAGTGTCTTTGAAAAATTCTTACAGTACTTTGAGTTTCTTAATTCTAAAATAGCAGTTTTGAAAACTTTAAACACACTAATTTCTCTGGATTGCATTTAATTGTACATTATTTCAACATGAGGTATCTGATAAAAAAATCTCTAACCAAAACTTGAAATTATCATCATTTAGATATTTTAAAATTCCTGTTGCTTTTGCAATAGTTTGATCTGCATTTGATGTTGATTGTATTTCAGTAAGGCAATTTTTTAAAAGTTGCAAATTTTCATGAACTCTGTTTATGGTCCGTATGATGAAGTTCCACCTTGTGGAGGAATACCACACGCACGGAATAAAAAGAAATCACGTTTTCAGCAACATGACAGAATTTCGGCACTGCAAGAGCGACAGTGCTCTTCTCTATACCCGGCTCACGTGCTGCTCTCTGTGTGCGCATGCGCAGAACAGCCAAACACCAAGTTGCTGGAACTGTGAAGCATGCAGTTCCAAACAAAGAATTTCGTACCTTTTTCACAAAGTGGGGGATGGTTACTGACATTAAGCTTAAGGATTATGTATTGTAAAAGTATAAAGAAAGAATTAAAGACTAAAGGGCACACTATATTAAATATTAAAAATAATAATAAGGGGAAATAGGGGGTGCTGCAGTTCCACAGTGCTTATTATCCTTACCGTGAAGCATTTAATGAATAGTTGCAGACATTGCAAAAATCACTAGCTGTAAAAAAAAAAAAAAAAAAAAAAATTATCTATCTACTTATTAAGCAGTGATTAGAATTCCAATTAATGTTTGTTTCATTTTACCTTTTAATGACAATAATAATATTTAAGTTTGTATAATTTATATATACTTTCTTAATCTGAATTATACCTAACCCACTTTTTCCAAAGAAAGTGTACTTTGTGCAAAGCAAAGGATTTTACCGTATGTGCAATAAATTAATGAGTATCTCCCATGTTCAACAAATGTTTACTGTATACCAAAAATAGAGCAGTTCTACCGAATGTTGAAACTGGGAAGCAAGGTACCAATTTGTTTCAATTTACTAATTTTACATGTCCGTATCTATTTGCAATATTTAATACATCAAGCATAATATCTACAATATTTAATATTTGACTCAGAATAAGGGGAAAGCATTAACTATCATAATGAAACTTTAATTAACAATAATTTATGTAAAGTTATTCTGTTTTCTTTCAAAAATGGTGGATACAACTATTAGAGACTCAAAACTTCAACATGGAAGAAACTATCAAAAAATAAAACCATATTTCATTTTTTCATGCATAGTAATTCAAAATAATGAGTCCTAAATTCTATATAAATTGCAATTAAACACATATCAAAGTACTAAGTACTTCTTGTCACCAAACCGTTTCTGGATTCAAAAATATATTCTTCGAGAGATTATTATTATGCTTCATCTGTTAGTATAACTATATATATGGAAGCACCAGTGGTCATTAAATCTACTTTGTCTCCTGATATATATGGTTTAAAAATAGATGAAATATTAATTGTAATTCCAGGATCCATGTAGCAAAAATCAATGAACTCATTAGAAGAAAAAGATTTAGAGATGCTAGGGGGAAAAAAATGAAATATAAACTAGTGATAAATGTATTAAACTCATTGTCCTAATCCAATTATCATTAGCACATCGCAGTTTCATAACTGTTGGATCTATTTTTTTACACCATAGCTTAACAGAAAAGAATTTTCATATCCTACCACCCCAAAGATTTCATAATGATGTTGAGACTTTTATGTAAATCAGCGACTATTCACTTAGATCTTCACAGTATGAAAATCTAAAATTCACTTATATCTTCACATGAACATCCTG